GGTCTCTGCTCCTGTCTCGCTTGTCGCCTCTCGGCGCGGCAATGCCTGTCCCGAGACTCTGCGTCTGTGGCGGTGCCGGCCGACCAGCCAGGTCATCATCGATCAAATCCTCCGCACATGCCTCGACTCCCACCATCAGATCTTGTTTCTTGCCCTTGGCTGGCATCGAATCGGCCGCTGTGCCTTCAGCCACCAACCCTTCTGTAGAGCTTCGCCTCCCGTCCGCGCGTCCAGAAGAAGAGACAGTTGGAGGAGAAAGGAAGGCCACAAGGCGCCCCAACAACCAATCCGTCATACCGAAGCCGTCGAAGCCATCGAAGCCAGCAATCATCCCATCACAGATTGCGTTGCTACGAGCTATAATGTTACTGCCAACATGAATGTTAGCCTATCAACCCGGCTCCTGCGTCACGATTCGTCAACGACCTTCAGAGTGGCGACGAGCACGGCAGACAGCGGGGACTTGGCGCGTCGTTTTCCGTCCGTTGATGGGAGCAGGGGGTCGTCACAATGGCCTGCCTGAAGCGCCAATTGATGCAGCTCGGCTCGTACACGGCGAGGTCGGCGTCGCGGAAAATATCATCGACAACCTCCGTACCTTCGCTTGGAAGATGCCCGAGCCGCGGACCCTGGCAACCTGCGTGCAGGATTTCTGGAAGCTCGGCCCAAGATTGATTGCAATCAGGGTTTCTACGGAATATCGTCACGGGCTATCACATGTCGCCGCTCCTCCTCCATGTCCGAGTCTTGTCGCACCTCGATTGATTGACTGTCTCTGGGCCCTTGACAGAAATTAACAACCATTATAGTAAACCAACTCCCAGGCTGCGAATCCTTTCCGTGACTGGCAACTACCTAAGTGCCTTTCAGTCACCACTTCAGCACCTAAACAACCCCAACCCACCTGGCTTCACATGACCGGTTTGACGTAGGCAGAAAATGAGACACAGAGCGCAGCTAAACGTCAAAAGCTGAGCAGACGCAGGGGTTGAAGCAGTGGCGCCCAGTCTGCGTCGTACGAAACGTACTACAGATCACCTGGGTCACGAACGAGACGATAACGTTGAGGCTGCACCTGCACGCACACTTCAAGATCTTACCCGCGATCGGGAGCCAGAGCTGATTACTAAGCATATGGGATCGCATTGTTGCCGGTTCGAGCCGGTGCCCCAGATCAAGCAGCTACCGGATGATATCTCCAGATCCCCAGGTTATCGGTAACCTCTTCCCCGCTGGCCATCACGCCGCACACCACCATCCACCATGTCATCCCCTTCCCCCTCTCCAAAGAAGCAGAGGATGATTCGTGGGGAGCTTTACCATGCTTTCGCACCAGAACTCATCGCAGACCGTGCACGAGCCAAGGCAGCCATGAGGCGCTACAATGCTGCCGTAGGGGAGGTATCGCGACGAGAGGAGGTTCGCCTCTGGAGAGAGTAAGTTGCCCAATGGACTGTGGGCTGAAGTTTCAACATCAGCGGCCTGATGAGTGTAGCAAGTATATACTCACTGGTCTTGTCCTTAGAGTAGTAGGCGACACCGCGCCTCTCCCCCTTGAGCTACTTGATGCTGCGGAGGACAAGGCACAGTTTGAGGACGATCCAATAGTAGGTGTCCCTGTGTTGGTAGACTATGGCACACAGATCAAGCTGGGCAAAGGAGTCTTTATCAACTCCTACTCAACGTGGATCGATACCTGCCCCATCACCGTCGGCGACCGAACGATGTTTGGACCCAATGTCTCGTTGTATAGTGGCAAACATCCCCTGGAGCCCGAGATTCGCAACGGTATCAAAGGTCCGGAGTCGGGCGCGCCAATTACTATTGGAGAGGACTGTTGGATTGGCGGAAGTGCCATCATTTTGGCAGGAGTGACCATTGGTCGAGGTTCCACGGTGGGAGCTGGAAGTGTTGTCACCAAGGTCCGTCTTGCTTGTTACTTGCACAGGAATATGGAGACGCATCGAAGCTGACATCTTGGTAGAATGTGCCACCATTTCATGTGGTGGCAGGCAATCCTGCACGCGTCATACGCAAGATCAAGTCCACGTTAGACCCCGAGCAGAACGTAGAAAGGCGCGAGGTATAGAGAGGCTCGTATCAGAATGCAGATTAACCTGCGCGCCTCACCTTTCCAAACCTTGAATTGGACAAAATTGCACGACGAGAAAGACATGAGATATGGTCTGGCACGTGCAACTAGAGCATGAAAAAAAAAGAAAAAGGTGGTACTTTTTTCTGGTTGATATTGTAAAATCGTACCTCATAAGTCACCCGGCCATCACATGACTTGGTGGGCCGACTAACGGCAAAACACCGCTTAAACTGCCTGGCGCTTCAGAGACCTCAGTCACGTCGCCAACCACAAGAATACCTGTGACAAAAGCATCCACATGACGACGGGACTCACCCAGCTGATGTTTAAGCGCAATAGTCAGCAATACGTCTTTCCGACTCATTACGTATTGCCTGCCTGAATTTGTCACTGGGCTTTCTCACACAGGACGTGCATGCGTGAACTTCCCGATCATTAGCCACAGCAATGGCTTACGAGCCACGTGGTGAGCAATGGGGGGGTGGCCAGGATGGCTCATCTATGAAGGCAAGAGGTCGAAGTAAGTATTGGAAAAGCCTACCCTTGACTGACAATGACAATGTTGTCCTTTGTGAATGAGGATATTGGACAGCTTGGTGAGGCGTGCCGCGCGTCGGAAGTCGCTGGTTGGGCTCGAGGTCATACAACGCCAGGTGAAGAATTGGGCGCTCCTCGAGATGAGCCTTGGGTATCAACCATGGGCTTGATATATTTCCAGTAGGAAGTCTGTATCTGTAATTGGCGATGAACCAATCACGAGTCTTTTCAGCATATTGCTCAGTGGGAAGATGAGTCGCAAATCAACGCCGTTGTCATTGACTTTAGCGACATGCGAGAATTCCAACAATCAGATCCGTCTGCGCACAATCCTCGGACACATTATGCATCCATGGCCCGTGATAATGCTGACAATTCATCGAAAGGGCCCGTTACCGACTACAGTTCTACTGTCACGCACTGGCTGCGGAATAGACTCCCCAATTACAAGGGCTCGTACAATGGCGAGGCAGAACGACCAAGTGCAAGCTACATCGTCGACGTAAGGAACACCAGATTCAGAATCTTGCCCTTTCGAAACTCCTTTTGCTGACTATTCTTCTCAAGATGCTTCCACCTGCTGCGCGACCAACAAACGCCGCGGACACTATCCCCATCAAACATCTTCACTCCTCACTCAACAAAATCAAGCACCCCATCAACGTGGTGCGATGGACCCCAGAGGGCCGCAGGTTGTTGACAGCCTCGACAAGCGGCGAGTTTACGCTCTGGAATGGCACGGGATTCAACTTTGAAACCATCATGCAAGCTCATGACTCGGCAATCCGGGCACTGGAGTACTCCCACAGCGACGACTGGTTGATATCTGGCGATCATGACGGTCTTATTAAATACTGGCAGCCCAATTTTAACAATGTCAAAAGTATCAATGCACACTCCGATCCGATTCGAGATTTGGCATTCAGCCCGAATGATTCTAAATTCGTCAGCGCTTCCGACGATTCAACGCTCAAGATATTCGACTTTGCCCTCGGACAGATGGAGTCCAAGTTGGAAGGCCACGGTTGGGATGCCAAGAGTGTTGACTGGCACCCTACCAAGGGACTGCTGGTGTCGGGATCAAAGGATCATTTGGTCAAGCTGTGGGATCCCCGAACCACTCGCTGCCTTACCACCCTCCACGGCCACAAGAGCACAATCACCAAGGTCATGTTTGAACGCGTTCGGGGAGCTTGCCTGGCAACATCAGCCCGCGACCAAACCGCGCGTGTGTTTGATCTCAGAATGATGCGAGACATTTGCCTCCTCAAAGGCCACGAAAAAGATATATCGACGCTAACATTTCACCCCGTGCATGCCAACCTCCTCACCACGGGGGGCATGGACGGCTCCCTTTTCCACTACCTCCTTGACTCACCAAATCCGCCTGCCGGTCAAGCCTTGACCGTGGCTCCCTATGACAGCATGGCTCCGTCCACCACACCAGCCCAGTCCGTATGGCCGATGCACAGAATCCCATTTGCGCACGACTACGCCGTGTGGTCACTAGACTGGCACCCACTGGGCCACATCCTCGCCTCTGGCTCCAACGACCGCATCACTCGATTCTGGACACGAGCCCGCCCAGGGGACGCGGACGTCTCCCAGGACAGATACCACATTGGCGAAGCAGCTGCCGAGGCACAAGGAACCTGGGACCGTCGCGGAAACCGTCGCCAGCGACAAGAAGAAGAACAGCAGGAAGTGGAAGATGAGATGGACGCACTCGTCGACCAAGACGCCCCCAAAGTCCCCGCGCCAGCTGCGCTGCCCGGCATTCCCGGTCTCCCCCTGGGAGGCGGCTCAGCGCCGCCCGGTCTCACGGCCGGCCTGCCTCCGCCTCCTCCCCCCATCCCAGGCGTCGGGACAAACGGCCTTCCGCCGCCGCCCTTCCCGCTGCCGGGCCTCAACGGCCCTCCCCCACCACCTCTCCCCGGCCTGGACCCCAATCATCCCCCGGACCCGACACAGCTCCTCGAATTGATGAAGAAGGCGGGCGTTCCCCTCCCACCGCCCGGTGCCCTGCCCCCGGGTCTCATCCCCCCGCCAGGAAACTTTCCCTTCCCCGTCCCTCCCCCGCCAATGCCCTCAGAGGAGAGTGAGACGAGACGACGCGCCCCGTTGCCAAGTCAGGAGGAGAGTTTGCGCCAGGAGCAACGGCAGGGCAAGTACACCAGGGCACGATAGATTCCCGCATCAGGCCCGCCCGACCATCTACAAATGGCCCGTTCAAGCAGCGGATAAAGGCATGTCCGGGGGGTACCAGACGCTCGAAAAAGAAAGACGAGAAAAAGAAAAAGAAAAAAGCTCAATGGCAGTGCTGGACGTGGGCATAGAAGCTCACAACTTACACATCTTGACGTGGCAGAGGCGGGCCGAGCTCAACGGGTCAGATATCCTTGGGGCGTTGGGGGAACACATGATAGCATCTACTCCACGCGGCGACTGTATTCAGCGCAGCAAGTGTAAACAGCGTGTCCCATGATCACATGTTTTCGACAAAAGGGACGAATAGACCGGTGGCGAGGGTACCTGGGTGCTTTGATGCTAACTAGTAATGACATGTACACGATTAAGATAATTTCCAGAAAGTGGCAGGCCTGCCCAAAAAGACAGGCCTGGTTGACAAAATACCTCCCTTCCCGTCCAATGCAGAGATTCGCTGGGGCGGATATCCTTGTATCCGATGCTGTTGGGAAAACAAGAACCAAAATGGGATACATGAAAAGAGAATTACATGACACATGCAAACTGAACGGCGGCGTATGCAAACCTGCCCCCCCTCACCCCCTCATAGAGACCTCCTCTTGCAGATGGATCGCCTTCATGACGCGTCTTACATATAAGCTGCGTGAAGAGACAGCTGGGCATGGGGAGCAGAGGATAAAAAAGGAAACAGGAAATAGAAACACCCAAAAGTCATAAAAGTCATGGCGAGGGAGGAGAAGGAGAGGGAGCAATAGCACGCGGGGAGCCTCTCCCAAACGCCTTCTGCCTGTCTGCGTATTCCCTAATGACCAAGGCACAGGTTGTGTCGGCGCAGAGCCTCGTCCTCCGCGTGACAGGCAGCTTGTTGGCAAACTCGAGGCCGGAGGCGCGCTCGACGGCCTCGATGGGGACCTCAAAGTCGGTGAGGGGCTTCTCGTTGGGGATGGCGGCGTTGGGGAGGACAAAGGCACCGATGGCGACGTTCCCGCCAGCTTTGCCGTCCTCGGCGAAGATGACCTTGTAGAAGTGCGTGGGGACGGCGACGGAGGGCGGGGTGCCAATCATCTCGTACTTGACGTACCACTTGTTGTCGACGGGGTCCTTGCGAGGCAGGTACAGCGGGCCGGTGACGATGCGGACGCTGGGGTAGCGGCCGGTGAGACGGCGGCAGAAGTCCTCAAAGTGCGCCCAGTAGTCGCGGTTGAAGCCCTCGCCGACCTGGGGGCACATGTTTGTCAGGTAAAAGGTCTCGTCGGTGGCGCCCTGGGACCACTTCGCGTCGGCGGCGGGCACCTGGTGGCCGCGGTCGTAGCCGCTGCGGAAGTAGTCCTTGAGGAGGGCGCGGAACTGCACGGGCACCGAGGAGTCCTCGAGGAAGACGCTGTGTTTGCGGTCGCCGCCGCGGCTGGACAGGGACTCGGGCGTGATGTGCTCAACGACCCAGTGCGGGTTGCGGGTGCGGCGGTCGTAGCTTGATATCAGGGCTGCGCGGGTGGCGATGTCTGATACGGGGCCGGGGAAGCCGTACTCGAAGAGGCCGGCTGGGTTGACGGGGGCCCGCGAGCCGGCAGCGACCGTGGTGGGAAACACCTGCTGCGTGGGGACGGCGAGGGGGGTGTTGCCGGAGGAGGTGGTTGGCCTGGCGGTTGGAGATGTTGCGACTGGGAGCTCGAGCTTCTTGTTCTCGGAGGATGAGCGGAGAGCAAAAGCGGCGGCCGTGAGGGCGGCACCGCCTCCAGCTCCGAGAGCAGCAAACATGGCGAGACTTGATTTCGACATGTTGGCGGCGGCGGCGTGTGAGGCCCGAGGTGGCATTTAAATACTCGATGGGTGACGGACGGGACGGACGGGAAAGCGAACAGCAACAGACGGGAGAAGTCTGCCGGACTAAGGGTGATCAGCGTGAACGGCAGAGGGTAGTGAATCGAGGCAAAGGCGGCAAGTCGTGAGAAGTGTGACGACAGCGGAGGGCGGGTTGAGAGAACTCGAAGCGGATAAGGCAGCTCACGAGGAAGCTAGTCCCAGAAGCATGTGGTCTTTCTGGGCTCCCTAGAAAGCTGTGAAAGCTGTCGGGATGGAGAGAGATGACGCAAGGTAAAAAGGTAGGAGAAGGGCGATTTTAATTTTCTGGCCTGGCTGTCGGCATGCAAGTCGGTTCGTTCAGTTCGTTCCCCTGGCCCCGAGAGCGGGAAGCTGGCGGGACGTGACCACTAAGGGCCCGCATGCGTGGGTCGGCGGACCAATCGACCTCAAGTGCTCGAGTCCAACGGCCCCAACCGTCTGGCGACGCGCAGCCGGGCCAGTCAGGAGGTGCGGTGCTTGGGACTGGCGGCTGACGAGCCGCATGGCAACTGGCCGGCCTGGTTCGTCAGCCGCATGGCATCTGGCCGGCCCGGTTCTCGCAAACGCCAACGCAAAACGTCAACCCCTCCATCGTCTCTCCGTCGACGTCGATGATGCGCGAATCCCAAGGCGGATGCTGTGCAACCTCCAACAAGAGCCGCATCTGTGCACTGTTTCCCTTCCGCCGACAAACTCTATCTGCCTGCTGAAGAAACACACGATGTACTCTTGACATCCATGACTTGCTCGTCTGATCACAGTCGCACAAAGACGCGTCCCCAGCAGCACGACTGCGTCACGGGATCGATTTAACCCATCGTTGGCGTCCTTCACTTCATCCAGCTACGATCAGACTGGGCAGTGGGCACGACGCTGGGCCACATCACCCGCAGCGAATACTCAAGCAGCTTGCTTGCCTTGTGCGCAGCCATGTCCCGCCCGAGATCGCGGCTGATATCTTGCCATCATGCAGTTGCTGTTCATGAAAAGACTGGCACATGTGGGCTCTGTTTTGTTTTTTTCCCCTACTTGTTTATGTTCACGGGACTGGGAGGACCGCCGCTGCATCAGGCGGCGCACATTCACACAAAAGACGATCCCACCGTGGTTTTTGAGCCTCGTGTCTGTTCGAGTTGCTTTGAAAAATGGCCATTATAGTACTTACTTGCTTTACAGACCCGTGTTCGTGCAAAGCCACGTGAAGATTAATACACACAAGCTTGAGCGCCCCCCCCCCCCTCTTCCATGTCCTTCGACAGGGGTGATTTTGTTCTTTCTCGGAGCGCCGGGACCATTCTTGCCAACAGCTGATTAATTACAGCCCTGCGGCACAGGAACAGTCTATTCTATTGCCCGGCGGTGTCTCTTATAGTTCCCGGCAGTGAAGATGATTACCTACTCAAGCCATCATGGCGGCCATCAAGACGGCGCCGAAGAGTGACGCAGCCCCGTACACGGCCTTGTTACGGCGAGCACCGGCAGTGACGACTGCGGGGATAGCGCCGGCGGTAGGTTCGGGAGTTGTAGTCATTTCCGTGGGCTTGGTAGAAGCAGGAGGCGGCGTCGGTCCTACCAAGTGGCAGTGCGAGTGGTCTCCATGAGGCTCGCAAGTTTCCGTTTGCGAGGAAGTGGCAACCGCAGCCGTTGTCGAAGTTTCCTTTGGCGAGTGGTCATGGTCATGGTCATGTTCATGTTCATGTTCATGTTCATGGTCATGGTCGTGGTCATGGTCGTGGTCATGGCTATGCGAGGGGGTGGCCGTTGCCGGAGACTCGCAGTGCCCTTGGGTGTGTGTTGTTAGCGTACGGTCCAACTTGTCAAGAGACGGGACCCCATCCCAGACCACCCAAGAGGTCTCTACGTTGGTCGAATGGTCGACTTACAGTGATCGCCGTGAGGATGGCACACGGAACCAGTCGGTGAAGGCGGCAACACCTGAGAACCCGAAGGATGATCCTCAGTAGTGGTCTGGGCCACGGCCTGGCAGATGAGGCAGAGCGAGATCAAGGCCTTGAGATGCATGCTTCCGAGTGAACAAGGCTTGAATACAGGGACGTGAGGAAGAAATAAAGGCTTGTAAAGGGCCGGCAAGGCCACGGATTGGACTTATATACCCAGGCACGCATATGTGTGCATCGCGTCTCCCCCGCTTGGCCGCCAATCAACAGCTCTTGGTCCCAGAGGACCACAGACAGCCCATCGCATCATTGATGACTGGCAACCCTGCTGGTCCATCCCTATCCATGGGCAGAGTGCCAAGACCCGAGAACCTCTTTGGACTGCAGCCGTCGGCGAGGGGGCAAATGAGGGAGGCCGCGTTGTGCGATATGGGCGCCCGTCGTCCTCGTCCTTGCTGGCCATGATGCATATGGCATCCTGCCTACTCGTCACGCCGTCGTCAGGCAGTGCCAGGGAGTGGCCAGTTGGCCGACCCAAATCAAGTCGTCGTCGAATCTACCTTTTGAGTCTATCTCCTCGTCTCCACCATGAGCGCGGTCTTTTCCCGATCAGGGTTCGCGAAACGGCCCATTCTTCCATTGATGTTTCCGCTATTCCCTCATGGCAAGGTTGCAAAGGGCATTTCAAGCTTATTTCTGCCCGACACCCAGACAACGCCATGTGCCCCTGTGACCCTGTCTGGGAGTTGAGCTCGCCAGATAACATGGGGCGCCAAGCTGATTTGCAGCAGGCATTACGGGGTACAGCACGACGGGTGCTTTCGTCCGCATCAGGCTTTTCGCACGTCTGTGTACCTTGATGGGCGGCTTGGTCGATTCATGCGCGTGGATCAACAGCGCTCCCTTTCAGCTTGAGTGGTTCGTGGGCGGTGCGCGAGAACCTTGATGTCATGAGCTGACGGGTCGTCAAAAGGTTCCGCAAAGACTTGGTTGTGGAGGACGGAAGTGGTCTGGGCCGCATGAGCAAACATCAATGTCAGGTCAACATTGGCATGTTATTGGAACAATGCTCACGATCAGAAGGGGACGAGGGGGAAGGGCTGCATGGACAGTCCGTCGCCTGTGACGACAACATATCGCCATGTACAATCACAGTGTACGGAGTGAATCGGGTCCCAGATGAAGAGCATACGCCGTGTATCAACGCGTTGGGCCATTCGCACAAGGCCGCGAGGCGTATACACATGATTCTCATAAAATGGTTTGGAATCAGAAGATGCTCTGGCGTCCAGTGTGCAGCTTGGCTAAAACACACGACGGCGATTCGAAACGATGGCATCGTCGCCTTCATGGGTCCCGGCGACGGTCGATCCCTGGGCATTGTTCAACTACCTGTTCGGTAGTCAGGTCGACGACTCTGCTTCCGGACCCGTACAAAGCAACTTGGAGCATGTGGTCCGTCCCGCTGCATCAAACGAAGGCTATCGAGCAGTGGTAAACAAGTACAAGAGGGATGACACATGCCGCTCCCTAAAGACAGCTCAGGCGTGACGTGGCTTCGACAGCTGTGACAGTTCTCTGGCGTCGTCATGACAACGCAAATTGCGTGCTGATAAATGCATCTAATCAGTTACCCAGGCAGGCAGGCAGGTTCGTCTGCTGGCCTTTGAGCGTTGGTGATGACGGTGAACGGCTCCATTTTGTCCCTCTCGCCGGCGGCAGTCAATGCGTGCAGAAGGCATCGGACCTGTGGCGTAGGCACGAGACTGCGAGACTGACCCCTTCATCGGCGACGCTGAACCCTCGTCAAGTCGCATATCCCGCCAGTGTCCTCCACGGCGTTGGCGAGGCGTTGCGCGAGGCGAAACGTAACGCATCTAACGGCGCGCCTTTTTGTCTGATCTGTCTGCAATTCGCCCGCGTGCGCCGGGAGGTGGTAGTGGATACGAGCAGTTTCGCTTTATCATCACACCTTGTGACAGATATCGTCATCAAGAGATGAATACGATTATCCGACGTGGCCGGTGAGAAGGAGTATGAGGTCCTAGGCTAGTTAGTTACTTGACTTGCAGCAAGACCTGTTGCCTTGTTGCCCAGGCCGCTGGCGCTGCATACTTTGAGTGTCAGTCTGTCGCGGCGTGTCACGGCCCAATGAAATATCATGCATGAGTCACGTGGAGCGTAATGTAACTCAATGGATACCTAGGTACCTAGGTACTTATGCCGGTACCCGATTGACTGGGCGCCTGCCTGGGGCAGAAAGGTAGCCTGTACCTACTTACGCTGGTAGTTGGGTCAGTGGGCGGCTGTTCCGAGTACCGAGCAGGCGAGCAAGGGATGCCGTACTCTGCATGTAGGTACTTAATTAAGTAACTTATGTACTGCGTACTATGCGGTCACTACGGAGTAAAGGCTGCACCAAAGACATGCACGGATAACCATCTATGATATAACTACCTGAAATATAGATCTGTCTATTTAAACATAAAACCTCCCGTCATTCATGTGGACGTGGACACCAACATGACGATAGACGAATACTTGGTCGCCGCCCACTCGAGTCCAAGAGCAAAACCTCAGGCATCACCAATACGCAGTGTCACTGCTCTCGTCATACCGTCCTGTCCTCTCGCTACTCCGTGCTCGGAACTACTTGACCTTGCGACTCGCCTCCATCGCCTCCTCGCTCCCTCGCTCCCTCGCATCTCGCATCCCTTGGCTTCCTGACTCCCCGTCATCCAAAGCCTCGAGTGCTACTCGACGAGGAGGCTTTGTCCCTGCCCACTTCGTCGATAGCGCGCCATCAAAATTTCCCGCCTCCAGCTTTCTTGGCCCTCCGACTAAAATCCACTCGCCCCTCTGAACTGATTCATGACGCCCTGGTTCCTTTCTACATCATTATTCCCTTCACCTGTGGTTCTGGATATTTTGCCGCCGTGCGAGGCTTTGAGCTAGCTTTGCTCCCGACTGCTCCATGGGCCGTAGTTGCTTACGACTCCGTACACCAGCGACGCCACAACAGCTCTCCGTCAGTTGTCAACGTTCGAGGCGCAAAACTTTTGGCTGTGGACCGGCTCTAACCCTATCCTAACCGCGAAAGTCATCGTTTCCTGCTTCAGCTCCTCGCTTGCACCGTTTCTTCTCTTATGGCTGTGTGAAGAACAAAGAGCCGCCCCGTGTCTGCAGACCGAAGCTTGGAGCAGTCGCCCGCCATGGAGTTGAGTGCGCGAGGCCTTGACAACGACACCCGTGGGTGGATTATGTGTGTGGTCAGTGGTATAGGTATGGCATTCGTCGTGCGCTTGAGTCTGGGATGATTGCTGACCCTGCCATTACAGCGTGCATCTTCGGCGCCTCCATCGTCTGCCTCGACCTCATCGTCCGCCTGTTCCCGGGGAAACGCAGCTTTCGCATCCAGGAGAGCAACATCTTCCTGGCGTGCTCGCTTTCCTTGAGTTTTGGAGTCATGGTACGCTCCAGAACCGCCTCCCCGGCTACGTGAGCACATGTCAACTAACTCGTCCAGATGTTCTCCGCGCTGTACAGCATGCTCCCCGAGTCGAAAGACTATCTTGAGAGGGACGCTTGGGCCGACCAACCCGCCGGCTTTGTCGTCATGGGATGCTTCATTGGAGGCTTCCTCGGCATCCAAATCGTGTCTCGCCTCCTGCACCAGCACATGCCCTCGCACGTTGTCGACTGCGACCACACCCACGAAGGCGCAAACCCACAAGGCAGCTTCTCGAGTAACCACAGTCGAAGGCAGTCCAGAGTCAGCCGAGCCCGAAGACGCCTCTCCCGTCCGCGGTCCTCTCACAGCCATGCGAAACTCGATGCCCATCAAGCTGCAGAGAACGGCATGGCGCTCGCGTGCGAATCCACAACTTTGTTGCCGCCGTCAGTCGACACGGATGGGAAACGCCATGGGAAACCGTCAAGGCGACACGCATCTACTAGAGCTGATGGAATGTCGCAACGCCCGACGAGCTCGTTATTGGCTTCTCGAAGCCGTGCGACTACTACAGACCTGGAAGCGGGAGCTCGTCGTCCGTCCATGTACGAGGTACAGAAGCGTGTCATGTCCTTTGTCAGGGACACCAAGTGCAATTGTGACGAGGAGGGGTCATGCTATGGCTATACAGATCCGTGTGGACAAGAATGTTTCAAACACCTCTCTACACGCTCGCAAAGCGGCCCTAGACATGCTGCCACGCTTCGAACCACCACCGGGCTCTTTCATTCACATTCGGGCTCCGTTTTTCATGCCGGCCATGGTCACGATGACCCCGACACACCTATAAGCCCCCGGTTCCGCACAAGCAGCGCTACCTCTCGCGAAGCTCCTTTCCACCAGACAGAGGAAGAAACGCACGGCCACGACGAGCATGATTCATCCTGCTCCTCCGTGGAGGAGGGGGATGCTGAGACCAGCCAACACCACCATCACGTTCCCACAAATGCCTTCCTTTCTATTGGCCTTCAAACGTCCATTGCTATAGCTCTTCACAAGTTCCCCGAGGGCTTCATCACATACGCAACAAATCACGCGAATCCCACCCTCGGCTTCAACGTCTTCATGGCCCTCTTTGTACACAACATCTCGGAGGGCCTTGCCATGTGCCTGCCACTGTACATGGCTCTCGGGTCCCGCTGGCGGGCCATTGCATGGTCCGCCGTCCTGGGCGGCCTGTCCCAGCCCCTGGGAGCCGGAGCAGCAGCACTGTGGTTCAAAGTGGCGCAGAGGTCCAACATGACTCCAAATGCATTGGTATACGCCTGCTTATTTGCCGTCACGAGTGGAATCATGGTGAGCGTGGCCCTGCAGTTGTTTGTAGAGGGGTTAAGCTTGAATCACAATCGAAATCTGTGCATCTTTTTCGGGTTCTTGGGCATGGCTGTTCTGGGGCTGAGCAATGCGTTGCTTGCCGCGCATTGAGGACCGCTGACTCGGCGTCGCCGTGACTGATGAAGGTGTATCAATCAGGGTCAAGGTTTCGACTAGGTCATGAGAATGTAGTTATGACTTGGCATAGAGGCGTTGCTGGTTCCTCTCCAAAGAGGCGGGGCTCGTGGTCTTTGGCCTGGTCGCCGGGACATTGTTTTACTCTTTTGCTTCATCTCTTCCTTTGCAGAACAGAGTATTCGGTTAGCTCGGTATGATAGAATGTCGAATCTTGGCATGCATCGTTTTCAGGCATTGTGTGTCGAATATATGAGTGAGGTGAGGGCATGGCCCAATTGCTTGTGTCGCAAGTCTTGGTTTATTTTAAAAAAAAAATGTATCTGTGCATCATTTCCTCATTATCATGGGCTTTTCTTTTCCATGGACAACGCTGGCTTCTTTTTTTTAGCAATAGCAATAGCAAAGCAGGAGTTCTCCACCTCGACAATGCGGGACACCGGCCTACAGTCTCGACAGACTGGGATCGATATTCTCCGGGTGCGGCGAGTCCCGCGCCAACAGCATGATATTGGCCTCATCTTCGAGCCACTCGTCCTTTGGGGGGCCGTGATCCATCTGCGCGGCAAAGACGTCATCCTCCGCCATGTCCCGCAGCCAAGTGGAAGCGTGGAAGTCCCCCCCAAAGGACAACTCGGCGTCCTCGTCGTCGGGGTTCGGGAACGGAGCAGGGTCGTTGGACGGGTCGGCGGCCGGCTCGTGGCCGTTGGACAGGTGGACCTGCAGGTCGTGGTAGCGTTTGAACCCTTGGTCGCAGTCGGGGCAGAAGACGGTGCGCTTGGCTTGGTTTGCGAGGCCGGATATCTCGTCGATGAAGGCGGTCGGGTCTTGGGCGGCGGCGGGGCCGTCGGGTCTGGGCGGCCGGGGGCGTTCGTGGCCGAGGTGGATGAAGCGGATGTGGTCGTCGAGGCGGACCTTTGTGCTGAACTTGGCGCCGCAGCCCTGGTCGTTGGTCCAGGCGGCAAAGTCGGGTCCCGAGGGCGTGGCGCCGCCGCACGTGAAGCGGAAGCCTTCGTGTGCCGAGCGGACGTGAGTCTTGAGGTTGGACTTTTTGGTGAACTTCTTGCTGCAGCCCTCGTGGGTGCAGGCGTGGGTCTGGCGGTCCTGGACCGTCTTGCCCGAGTGGTGCATGTCTACGTGCTGGTCGAGTTCCCAGCGCGACGAGGGCTTGAAGTCGCAGAAGAGGCAGTTCTGGTGTTCCTTCCTGAGATGGGCGTGGAGCAGCAGTTCGGTCGTGAACCCTATGCGGCGTTGCGTGCCGTCTTCTTGCGTCTGCAGGCCGCACTCTCCGCACCAGTATTTGATTTCGCCGTGGATCTTGTCGCGGTGGCGTTTCAGCGCTGGCTTGGAGTCGAACGACTCGGGGCACCCTTGCTCGGGGCAGGCGTATGCCCGCATGTGCAGGTGTTCTTTGCGCACGTGTTTCGTGAGCGTCTCTCTTTTCCGGAAGCTCTGTCCGCATTCCTGGCAGCGGAACCGCTCGGCGCCTTCGTGGACGGCCTGGTGGCGCTTCAGTCGGGTGCCTGTGACGAAGCCTTTGCCGCAGCCCGGGACTTGGCAGGTGTATTTGCGTTCGTTTGTGTGCGCCGCCTTGATGTGCTGCTTCAGGTGCTTGTCCTCGATGTAGTCCTTGTCGCAGTCGTCGTAGGGACACTTGAATGGCCGGGAGTTGGTATGCGAGTTGAGGTGGTCTCGGAGTCTGGCCGGGCGGTTGAACGCCTTGGGACATCCGGGCCATGTGCAAGCTAGCGTTTTGAGATCTGACGGGAACTTGGTTCTTGGTGTGGTTGCCACGGTTGCAGGCGACTCGGCCTCAGCCATTGAGCTCGGTGTTTGGGCTGTTGTGAAGTCGTCATCATCGTCGTCGTCTTGGTTGGTTGGAAAAAATTAGTGTGTGCATTTTCATGGACGGCGGATATGTTCCATTCACTCACATTGGACGGCACTGTCCACGTGCAGCTTCTTCACTTGACGCGCTTCCACGGCTGCCTCGGCGGGCCCTCGTTTGCCCATTGTCGTCGTAGAGTGTCTGGACAAAGCGAAATCGAGATGATAACCGTGGTGCAAGGTGCTGGGTTGGGAAAAGCGGCAGAATGCGATCAGGCGGTGACGAGAAATTTTGCGGTGGGTAACGAGTCGGAACGACTGATCGATAAAGCCCAGGTGAGCTTTCGGTCAGCCAGCCTATCAGGCCCCCAAGCGCCCATGTGCGCCGGGGAAGCCACGGAAAAACCTGCCGACATGACTGCAATTTTCACGAGGCTGCCGACCTGCAGGAACAAACAGGAAGCACGACGCAGCGTTTGCGACCAGCTTCCGCTCTTCCCAACAGACGTGCACGCAACTTGCTCGATTTTCCCAGCATGTCTGATTTCGGCGACGATGATGTCGGTGTCGGCGGGTAGGTGTATCCACGCGAAATTTCGATGGGCGGCCATGTTGTGGTTTTGCGTAGGGAGCGCAGCAAGCTAATGGCACGCGCAACAGGGACGAGCCCGTGCTCGAGGAAGAGGAGGTTACTGAGTACTACGACCCCGAGGTTCTAGACAACGAGGATGGCGAGCGTGGCGAAAACGGTGAGGATGACGACAATGTCATCGTATCCGGAGACCCTTCGGCGGCTGCCAACGCCGTCAAGGGTGGTGAAAAGTCGATGAAGGATCGGAAGATTCCCGAGGCGGATCGGACAACCACTCGATACATGACCAAGTACGAACGGGCACGTATACTTGGCACCCGCGCTCTGCAGATTAGGTACGGTACCACTGGCTGCGAGGTTTTTATCGGGAGACAGAGGCTAATGGGTCACCCGATGGTAGCATGAATGCGCCGGTGTTGGTAGACCTCGAAGGCGAGACAGACCCCCTTCAGATTGCCATCAAGGAACTCCGCGAGAAGAAGATTCCCCTGATTGTCAGGCGATATCTGCCGGATGGCTAGTGAGTGCTGACGTAGGTAGAGGTTCGTGCTGGGATGCAGACTGACAGAGGGCAAATAGCTACGAAGATTGGACATGCGAGGAGCTTTTGCAATGACCTGGACGCGTCGTACGTGCAGATGATCATTTTTCAGGGGCAGGAGCGGCAGAAACCACCACAGTTGGCGTCAAGCTACTTCCATACCAGACGATCAGTTCGGCACTCTCTGTAATGCCAGCCAAGCAGGCAATCGTCATTTATGATTTATGAGCGTGGCGTTTAGAAATTTGGTCGAACGATGACAAATAGGCACTAGATAAAACCCAAAAGAATGGTTGTTTAGGTTCTTGGGCCGTGCCGTGTTTTGCAGGAAGAGGCCGTGATGACCTGTCAAGGGACCAGTCAAGGTGATACGGCACAAATATGGTTGATGGAGAATGCGTGTGGGTGGACTCGGTGCGCCGGGCTGATAGTCTCAACGTCGCATTGGCCAAGAGTCTAGACTGGCATTACAAAGAGCATGGGCGATGCAGCGGAAACGAATTTTTCGGCAGAAGGCAACATTGTACGAGATGCGCCAGGCAAACCGTGCAGGCGTGCAACAAGGAGGAGGAGGGCCCTGTCATTGAGCAGATCAGCCGGCGCTACAGTGTCGTGGCCCGAATTGGGGATCAAGAGTCAAGACCTTGACTCTTGCTTGACTGCGTGTGCTCGGAAAGCGTGAAGACGGTGACATCGGCCCGGTGCCAACAGGCTGCGGTACGTGTCGCAAAGACGAAAAGATGTGGACGGGTGCTCCGGATTGGGGGGGCTTTGTGATATGTGCCGAAATGACGTCGCATCCAAGATGCTGCAGCTCGCGCGAGATGGTGCGTTCAAGCCGTGGTTTGAGGCGGGCGGAGCCATGACGTCGTGGTTTGTGGGGTGCCGTCAATTCCAGGCCGTCGTTTCCAGGCAGCCACGGCCCCGGCCCAGAAGGGCCCACCGCTGGCCATGCGCCATGTTCAGCATTGAATGCTGTTCCAAGTACGCGCCGGTGGGGCAGCGTGGGGGCAGCTGCCCGTCCGGGCCCCCTGGCGGCGCGCGCAAACACGACGGCCGCACTCCGCTGCACCGCTGCATCGTTGGCAGAGAAGGCTCCAGGAATAGAGGTAAGGTAGGTCGGGGCCGCCGGCCTTCCGGGTCGCCTTTCGTCCCATGAGCGTCGTGGAACAATGCCGGGTGCCAGGTGCCGCGTGCGCCGTTGTGCTGCGCGAGGAAGACTCAGAGGCCGGGCCCCCCTGCGACCAAGTGCCCACCCAAGTGAAGGCATCCGTCCCATGATCCAGCGACGGCTGCTTTGACCCCCGACCCCCGACCTCGCAGCTGCACCCGTCTGCATTCTGATGCACAAATCAACTTGACCACTCACCGCTCATGAAGTCGGGCCGGCCCCAAGAGCAAAAATAGATAAAGTTGGCAAGTCTTACTTGGTGCTCCTGCCCACGGCACTCAGCAGCAGGCCCGCATCCGAGATATCCATCACTTGCTCGCGGTACAAATTCCCCCTCATCCCCTCGTTCCGACTCGGCGGTACAGTGCGACTCATCACAACGCCGAGATGAAGCCTTCCACCGTCGCCGCCATCCTTTGTTCGGCCACTGCCGTTTCTGCCTCGCCCGTCGAGAAGCGTGCCGTTGGAGGTGTAAGTCGTGGCCGTGGCCGCCCCACGTCCATTGCTCCGCGATACAATGTATTGATCACGCCATCCTTCAGGTCCTGCTCTGCACGGGAGCCAATTCCACGGGCACATGCAAGTACCGTGTGTACGAGCTCGACAAGTGCCAGCAGCTCTGGAAGCCGTTCTACCAAAACACCAACACCTTTGCCGTCGACGGGGAAAACTTCCACTGCTACCCCACGCTGGCCAACTGCACCAGCATTTGCACGAGCCCGACTGGCTGCACGTTCGGCGCCGTCGACTACAACTACGAGCACAAGTACAACCTGAGCGCCATCGGTTGGGACAAGTACATTACCAGTTTCCGGTGCTCCATGAAGTGAGACTAGCCACGAGGCACCCGACACAACACGATTATTTCATGATTCTTCTGCACATACATGTATATATAATACATCTGACCTTGCAAAGGGCGTTTAAGCGGGGAAAGCTCGGCATGGAGGAGCACACATCGGAAATAAGCCAGCTCCGACGCTGGCATTGAGCATGTCATGTCTGGCCGGGCAGTAGGCAGCGTACGAAGTATAGTGTAATCAATTCGGACATGTACACTTGATTGACCTTTGCCGCCCTGGCCACTCGGGTGACTTGGCAGTGTGTGCTGTGATGACGACGTGGACATTGTTCGGAGAGATTGTAACGTTATCTGAAATCGGCGGGGTCAATGTGCCAGTCAGCCCCTGCAAGCAAGCCTTTGAAGGTGGGTATTGATTGGGCAGGCAGGCGGAAGAAAGAGGAGGCGCTTCAACAAGGTTGTCAAAGGGAGGGCCTCTTTTGAATCATCAACTCCTCGCATGCAACAACATCCCATCCCGATTCCAATTCCAGTTCCAGTTCCAATTCCAGTTCCAACCCCAGTCCCAACCTGTACGCCGTGCCATCTGGAGCACTCCGGCAACCACCTCCCACCATGGCATTCACAACAAAGTCCACCGTCGCCTCCTTCAACGGCCGCATCCTCAAACTCACGCACCAGTCGAGCAGCACCTCGACGCCCATGAGCCTCAACCTCTTCCTGCCCAACACGGCATCGCCATCCAACCCGGCCCCCCTCCTCATCTACCTCTCCGGGCTCACCTGCACGCCAGACAACGTCACCGAGAAGGGCTTCCTCCACGCCCACGCCTCGCCGCTCAACCTGGCCCTCGTCTACCCCGACACGTCCCCGCGCGGCACCGACCTCCCCGGCGAGCACGACGCCTACGACTTTGGCAGCGGCGCGTCCTTCTACATCGACGCCAGCGAGGACCCCTGGGCCGCCAACTACCGCATGGAGTCCTACATCGCCACCGAGCTCCCCGACCTCCTCTCCGCCAGCTTCAAACAGCTGGATGCCCGGCGCGTCTCCATCTGCGGCCACTCCATGGGCGGCCACGGCGCCCTGACCCTCTTCCTCAAGAACCCCGGCAAGTACAGGAGCGTGAGCGCCTTTGCGCCCATCTGCAACCCCAGCCAGTGTCCGTGGGGACAAAAGGCCTTCGCGGGGTACCTGGGCGACGACAAGGCCGAGTGGGCAAAGCACGATGCCACAGAGCTTGTCAAGCGCTACAAGGGCAACCTGAACTGTCTGGTTGACGTGGTGAGCCTCTTCCCCCCCTCCCGAGCCGCGGAGCCAGGCACAGACTCGGGGACCGACTGAAACATCCGCAGGGCACCGCAGACGACTTCTACAAGAGCGGCCAGCTGCTGCCGGAGAATCTAGCCGACGCCGCGAGGGCCGCGGGCGTGGACGGCCTCGACGTGCGCTACCACGATGTAAGTCCTACGCACCGACGCCTCGAGACGTGCATCGTGCATCGTGCATCGTGCATCGTGCTTGTGCTGAAACATGTAGGCATACGACCATTCGTACTTCTTCGTCTCCACGTTTGGCGAGGACCATGTCCGCCATGCCGCGCGCGCACTGGGCTTGCTGTAGCCTGTGAGAGGGAACTCCCCGAGAACAAACCCCCCCGCCAAGACGGCCGGGCCAACGCGGTGCCCAAAGGAAGACAGAGGGAACAGACACGTTCTGTTCGTATCGCACGCTCTTGTTCCCTGCGACGACCGCTCATTAATACCCTGCTTCGACGGGACTGGTTGCCCCAGCTGAGCCGTGTATATATAACTTGTCACTTGTGTGTGCCGGACGCGTTCGTTTCTGCCACCCTCGGGCAACATCTAAGCTTCGTTTCACACAAGCCCAAGTACTAGACATCCAACATGGGTCAGCAACGCACGCAAAGAGCAAGAAAACGCCGTGGTCGATCCCGTGTATCGAGTTTTCGCCATCCCCACGCGTCAGCTACTTCTATTCTAGCACCGCCCTCCCAAGGCGACGGAGAGCCTGCATTCCGAGCCTCCCCTGTCGCAGCCGCCGTTCAGTCATAAGCCGTACGCATCGGGGTCCCATTACAAATCTACCTCACCACACAGAATGAAAAGGTAAAGGAAAAAAACGCCGCCCCATGGAGGTGATCTGGCCCTTGAAACAAATGCAACCGACCCATGCCAATGCCGCCGCCCAAAAGCACAAAACTTGCCACCCCGCGCACGCCCACACGGGTTTTCCCGGTTCTGCCGTTCCTCTAGCTGATTCCCCGGTCGTAGTTGGGACCGAGCCCTTCCTTCTCTAGCTTTGCGCGCATTTCCAAGTTGACTTCCCTGCGGATGCGCTCGTAGGCCAACTTCTCGAAGCGGCTGAGGCCCTTCCACCAGTGCTGGCCCGCCTCATGCTCTGCAACACGGCTCAGGAGTTCGCTCGTCTTGAGACGCACCTCGCGATCTTGGTGGAACAGCCCGAGGGCGAGGTAGAAGAGGCCGGCGCGTGACTCGGGCGCTACGTTGAGCAGCAGGCAGATCTCGTCGTAGGAATGGATGTACTTTGCGAGCGTGAGATAAATGTCCCTGCTCTGGCCGGGAGATAGCCGCTGCATCCGCAGACGGTCGTGCATGTGCGCCAGGTCCAGACCCTTCAACGGCCGGACTGTATACACCTGCGCCAGGTCCTGTTCACGGTCAGTCTTGTTCACGTACTTTGCTCGGCGCGTGGCCGGGGCCAGAGAAACCAGGGACTCCTACCTGGATGTAGCTGTAGTAGCTGCGGGTGTTTCGCCAGCCCTCAATCCTGGTCACGTTCCCGGCGAGTTCCTTATTCTTCGCCGCGTCATCTGACCAGACGTAGCCGTGCCCGCTGGCGCCCGGGAGGGTCATGTCCTGGTCCTCGCTGCCGATATACAAGGCGCTTGCTCCGTACACGCTCTCTTCGAACTGGGCCGCGATGCGGGTGAATTTCGTGACCCAGTCTCTCCATTTGGCGCGAATGACTCTCTCTCCGTGGCGCACGGCAATACTCTTGATGATGTCTACCATGAAAGCTCCGTCGCCCGTCAGATCCTGGCTGTTATTTGAGTTGCCGCTGGCCATGGTTGCCAATGTCGGATTCTGCTGCTGAAAGTACAACAGGCCCTCCGTCGCGGCAGCCGGCTCGATCTTGCTGCTGATCTTGATGCGACCGCTGGGCAGATCGCAGAGTATGTCCCACCATTCGGGATGCATCTCAAAAGTAGGGTTGGTGACCCCGGCGATAAAACCAGGCACATTCAACAGGTCGTCAATCTTGGTCAGGTCCGTGTATGGGAAAGCGTGCCGGGTGAAGCCTCGCAGCAGGCCACCAGACGCGAGAGCACAGGCGGCCAGAACAGCCTCCGCAACCTCGCCGGACGGCATGTTGTGACCCAGGAAGATGATTCGCTTTTGAGTCAGCAACGCATTAACCAGGACGATAACGGGATGTGTGCCGGCGCCGTTGGTTGTCAGGTGGGGATGGAGGGTGAATGCCTGCGGTGACTTTGCGTGCGGTTCCGAAAAGTTCTGAATGAGCTTGATCAAGGAGAAGTCGCCGACCGTCTCAGGCATGACAGCTGTGGGAACCTTGATCGGGATCGGAATTCCCTTGTACATGACTTTGCTCTCAAACTCGTGCGTATCCCTCGGGACGGAGTACAGGGCTTGGCTTCCACCCTCGACATGAGCTTTTGTGCCGGCCCGAGATATCCCGGCTGATTTGGCAGGACTCGTTGAATCTTCTGATTGTCCTTCGATCAATCCATCGACTTTGTCCTCGGCCATTCGTATTTGGATCATTTGCTCAAATTTCTCGACAAAGAGATCACGATTCTCACTCGCCAACAAGAGGTGCCTTTCGAGGATGCTGAGCCTGGGCATAAGAGACAAATCCATGGCATTCACGGCATCGTAAAGCATGGAAAGCGTCTCGGGAACAGGGGACTTGAAATATTCTTCCAAGGCCAGTAAGAGCAGGGGCTGCGCGGCCGCCCCAAAAAAAAAATCAAAAATTCATTAGTTGGGTGCGTAATTAAGACAGCAGTCGACGGTCGACTCACCTTGTAAATGTGCAGAAAGGGATGCCTTGTGCAAATGGCCATGGCTTTGACGACGGCACCACGCTTCACTGACTTGTCGTGTTTGGTGTTGACAAGATTGAGCACATAAATCAGAGGCGGGCCTTCTCCGCCCTCGGGTTCGCTGTCGGTGGATTCGCCGTCGTCATCGTCATCTTCATCGTGGTCGTCAGGGTCAAGTTTCTCCTCTTCATCACCGGAGACGACCCCGTTCGCTCTGTTCCGCCGTCTTGTGCGCATTTGTCTCCTTCGCTCTCTTACCTGTCTCTCGGCATCCTCCTCTTCCTGGCTGGTATCTTTGTGCAAGAAAAATATGGTCCAGTCTTGGTTGCGAGCGTGCGCCTGGTCAGGAAGCATTAGCTCCGCCAGCATGTTTTCATCTCCGGTAATGGCGACTGGATATTGATGTTCCATGACAGGGCCCCTGTCAATGTCGAACGAGGCCACGAGGATATACTCGACATGATCATCGGCTGCCCCCCGAGGATACTGCGACCTGAGTCTTCTAGACGACCGAGCATCGGCGTTCAATCGTCGAGATGCTGACAGGGACGAGTGTTGAGATGAAGGGGCCAATGATGGAGTTTTGGACTTGGAACTCGGATTGGAAATGCGGTCTGTGTCGGCGATAGGTAGCTGAGGCGACCTAGCTTGACGAGAATTCTGCGACATTTGCGATGGCGATCGTGACGAGGGAAATGAAGAGAGAGATGCCCGTCGATTGGACAGGGACCCATTCGATCGATTGTCCATGGCGTTTTGCCGGTTCATGTACGGAAGGGCGGTGGTGGTCATGGTGACGAGTGTAAAGACGAGCGTTGAAGCCGGATGGGCGAGGATGACGACAACGAGCGACGGCAGGGCAATGGGCGTGCCGAGGCAGTTCCAAAGAGACAGTCTCGCCGGTTGGAGAAACGGTTGGCATGCGGGGGAGAGTGGCGGCCGCGAACGGCTCTCCCTCTGTCGTCGGTGGTGTGAGCGAGAGTGTTCCCGAGAAGGGCCTTGACGTACGTCCCGTCCCTGCTTGTCCTTCACTCTCTGCCCTGTGGCTATCTGAGCCGAAACGGTTCGCACGCAAGGCCGACGAGGGGTGGACGGGGGGAAGCCGGGAACTGGATGAGACGACCGCGACAAGGAGGCAAGGCTTTGCCAAGGTGCCTTTGCGTAGCCTTCTCGTGGGCTTCAGCTGATGCTTGGGCTTCTTGACGTCTGGATGGAGCTCGCAACGGCATCGAGGCATGCAGTGTCTGCCTGCAGAAACACCGGCTATGTGGCGGAAACGAAGGACGTTGGAGATGCGACAGGACCAGACTCAAGCTCGGGATGGCGGATGGAGGGCTGTGACGGGATGGCGACGGGTGAGGTGATGCTGACGAGGGGGCAGTCGCGGAGCAACGCCGATACATGATCCGGAGACTATTGCGACGACGTCGAAGTCCAGCCTCGATGCACACCCAACAGTTCGGAGGAGCAAAAAGTCGAACTCCTGAAATGCGGCCCAGGGAGGGTCGCAGGGGTCGCAGGGATCGCAGGGATCGCAGGCAGGCGGCGCCACTAGGGCAGGTGAGGAGCAGGTGCCGGTTGGCCTTGGGCCATGGGCGGACCATTGGGCCATTGACGGCCAGTGAGTCGACGGCACCGGGCCAGGGCTCGTGCGGCCACTTGATGGGGCAATCAGTTCGGGGCCCGAGGGCTCTGAGGCACAGAATAGGTTTGGCTGCTAACGGCTTACTTTACTTTAAGCACAGTACTTTGAAGTACTCAAGCACTTACTTGAGTACATGCCCATTCTAGGTACGTGGCAAGTTCCCAAGTGCTCTTCTGTGCCCGGACGTCAACAATTCAACACATGTTGGCCTACTCTGTATTTCGCCCTCTGTTTCTCCGCTCTGTCCGTTTCTTTTTTTCTTTTCTGCCTTTCTCTCGACAGGCTGCTTGCAACTCTGCCGGTTGGTGGCCAGCGGCTCGTTTTTATTTTTATTTTTTTGGCCCCCGAGTCTACGGTGGGGGCCACATGAGCCTCTCACCGTTTGGCGCACTGGTCAAACACCTTTGACCACATAACTGTGGTCGGGATCGGGCCTTTCAATAGTCAAAGACAGAGTTCCTTTTTTTTCTCCGCGCGGCAGTCGGTCAGTCAGTCAATGCTATGCCCTCCTGTGCCTCTGTGACCGCCTGTTTGTGCGCAGCACACATGCAGAAAAAGATTCTCCAGTACCCGGGCGCGGAGGACCTTCCTATGTACTTGAGTACTTACCTAGGTCAAGTACTTAGGAAGGTCCTCCCGGGAACCTGCATCGAGGGCCAAACGAGGGCCTGGCACCTGATGGTCGGCTTATGCAGCCTCGAGCCAAAGTGCGCGCGCAGTTCTCCCAGTACCCCGTACTACTCCTTACTGACTACGGAGTACCAGTATTGTCAAGTCATCTATCTATTGCTGCGACATGCTGTACAACGTCGATGCCCACGCCGTTGTCAGAGCCTCGTGTCAGCTTGACGCTGCGAGGTCTCTTGTTGTCCCCTGGGCCCCGGCCCTGGCCCGGCCCAGGGTTGACCAGGGACTTGGACAATACGATTGGGTGCCTGGCTACAAGTACCTAAGTACCTAGAGACAGTTATCAGGGACCAACTGCCCTGATGGGATCTCTGGCGGGAGAAGAAGCCCTTGCCAGTTGATCGACAGAACCCCGCACTCGGTGATAAACTCCATGTCCAGTACGGAGGAAACTTCACTTGTGGTTTGTTCTGTAACAATTGCTGATAGAAATAAGGAGGGTTGCTGTTAACACAAAGGTTCTATGCCTAACCCCACAGGCTTCCTTGTCAGGTCACTCATGGCGAAACTTACAGGGGCTCGTTAATCTTCCCGCCGCGGCCTCCATCATCTGAAGAGCCTCAGTCAGCCCCAAGCATGAACGAAAGAAAGAAAAGGTTTCTACAGAATCCATTTTTTGCATGCATGAAGCAGGAATCAACGCCTGGGAAATGCAAGGGGCACGCCCCTCATGCAGCCGCGCTATTGCATGGCCCTTCGCATCATGCCAACTACTCCGTGCCGGGAAGCTGTTGTTCGAGAGACTACTTAATGTGCGAGTACTACATACCCCAAGTAAATTGGGCCTACCTTAGTACTTGAAGCACCTAGGCACTTACCTACCTAGGTACTTAAGCAGGTACTTAGGTACCGTTTGGCCTGCGCTTCTCCAAAGACCGAGACCATCAGCAGGGGTGGCAATCCAGCGCATGACGCCCAGACAAGCTGAGGTTTACCTTGGGCGCCAGACCTCCGTCCTTGTACGGTAGAATTTGTAATCAACTCGGGCTTTGTAGTCTTCTCGTCCCAAATCACGGCTGATTGACGTGTAAAACATAAAGTACCCGAATGCACGGCCCCCGGGGGCTAGTGACGACATCGCGAGGCTTGTGCGCCGTTGGGAACAGCCACACCTGCCCCCCCCCGCCGGACCTGCAAGGCTGCCGTTGTTGTGGCTATGCATTGTTTACATTGGAAACGCCGCCGGCGAATCGCCTCCTTCTTCCCTCACTTCGCCCAGGCGTGTAGTCTCCCGTCACTCTCGCCAGTACCCGAAACTATCCATCTGCACGAGAGACGGAAAGAGAGAAAGAAAAAAAGCCGACATCGCAAGACTACAGCTTTCACCTGTTTCCTTGCCTCCATTACCTTCCCAGTGCCCAGTGCCCGCCGACTTCTACTCCAAGTCCACCTTTCCCTAAAAACCTTAATCTCCACCTTAACCAGCAGCGTTCCTTGGCCAACCGACGTCCTGTCCCGACGAAACCGCCACGGTCAGCATGGTAAGAGCTACCCATGAGTCGTGGACACGCCCCCAGGTAATATACCATCTTCTAACGTGTCCCTGTCATTGCCAGTCTGCTTCAACATCGTACAAGCCATCTCCGTTAGGATACGGCTCGCCACCTTCACGCAATTCGCCCTTCCGTCGACCGGAGTCCCCAGCATCACCATCGCCTTTGCGATATACAACACCAAGCAGTGGTGCGACCAAGACTGCTTCTCTGGGTACACCATCGCGGTTTGCGCAGCCGACTACGCCTACGACTACGACTACGACTCTGAGCAACAACCGGACGCCGCGTACTCACTCATCGGACACAATGACGACCGCATCGCCTCGCAGGTTATCTCAGCAGGAGGCAAGCGCGTCTGCATCACAGCCGCTTGGGAGCGGAAACGCATTATCACAGCTACAACCAGCCCAGGTTAGGACGCTGAGGGATGGGTTCCAAATATTGGATCGTGATTGCGACGGCATAGTGAACCGCGAAGACGTCGCGGACATGTTGAGCCAGTTGGGTAAGTTGCGTGGACAACAGATGCGGGGACGTAAAGTTCTATCTGTTGAGCTGACCTGGTTGGCGTAGGTCTTCCTAATGGCGCGCCTGATGTTTCCAAATTTTTCCCTCCGTCGAAACCGCAGACGATTGCATTGGCGGCATTCCTGAACTCGTTGGCAGAAACACTATGCCAGCTGTCGCCCAGCACAGAGCTTCTCTCGGCATTCTCTGCATTCGACAACGACGACAGTGGTCAGGTGGACTGGGCCGAGCTCAGGGACGCACTGCTCAACACGGCGCCGGAACCTGGAGAGCGAGTGCTGACCGCAGCAGAGGTCGATCGTGTCGTCAATGGCTTTACCGGTCGACGAGCCTTCAATCGCAATATCAGTGCGCAGTTGGGTGCCAAAAAGGGAGAGGTGTTCAAGTATAACGAGTTTGTCAACTCCATCATGGGATCCAATGGGACATCAGAAGGGTCGCCGCAAGAAAATATAGAAGAGCAGTAATAACAGCAAAAAGACGGAGCAAGACGCACCGATCGATTCTGTGCATACTCTGCGCTCTTGCGTTGGAGTAGGCGACAGCGGCAGGCTCTGTGCGCCTCATGATACTAGTACTACGAAGAAGACGTATTAATGACAGGCATGCATAATGTGACCTTTGACGACTAGGGTTGTTGGAGAGGCAGTCTTGGGCGGTTTCATTTATGTTGGTGAGGTGAAGTGAACGAACCACCGGTAGGATCTTGATTGCAGGCGTTGGATGCGAGGTTATTGACGAAATTAGGAAAAGGGGTTTGATCAGGGGGCAGATCAAGGGCACGCAATCAATCACATCTAGTATTAGGTGGTGAGCCCTAGCGAGCCTTCTAATCTGGGGTGTCGCACGATTAACTGATGGCGCATTTTGGGACAAAGGAACAAGGAGGTACGACGACAAACGTGGGCGCAGTGTGTATGAGTGCAACCTGCGCGACATGAAATAGAGGTCGAGCGAGAGACGTGAGCAATGATGATGGAGGGAAAAGGATACAAGGGTAGCTGGTGCAATCGAGGCTCGAGCGGCTGCCATGTTGAAGGTTGAAGCTTGGTGTCGATCAACTGGTCCAAATGTTGAGATTCGACTGGCGTGCAGAGTAGCACAAGCATAAGCGCCTGCCTTGCCGTGACAGTTCCAAGTTGACAGCGGCAGACTCGAGCACTGACGAATCTGCGCAGGTGTGAGACGAGTGACCTGGTGGCCCGGGGCGGCCTGCAAGGCAAGGCTGATCGGCCATGTTGCAAAGTTTCTCCATCCCACATCACCAGGGAACTTTGCCGTGGCGGCCGGCGCAGTCTGGCCAATCCGGCCGCCTCCTAGGCAGCGGCCCCACTGAATCTTCTAGAATCACAGCCGGCTACATGCAAAACCCCGTTAAGCAACTGCATACTCGGCTCCAGACCCGCCCCTTGCCCGTCACCCCTGCCAGATATCGCCTGCGCACATGCGCAAGTGAGGACGAGGACCAAGCCCAACCACCAGCCTCTTGAGTCTTGACTGTTCCACCAGCTCGGCGTCACATCACGGTGATAGGATGGCGCTTGCTTGGACAGCTGCGTACAGCGCGGACTGCAGCCAGAGAGTGGTTGCTGTTACAACAGTGCGGGTGACTGGCAACCTGGCCACGCGGGAAAAAGGAAACAAAAACACAAGGGCTGGGGGGGAGCACCAGCGAGCAGGAGGGACGGCCGACTCAGCATGATGCAGCAACCGTGAGGCGGGACCGATGACGGGACAGAATCACGCAGACCAACAACGATGGGTGACTAGGCCAGCCAGTATCAGCGACTCCGTGGGACGGTGCAGTCCTCTGTACTCAGTAACGTAGTCGATAGAGTAACTCGGCTCGAGGGACGAAAAGGAAAGAAAGAACAGAAAGAAAAAAGAAAAAAAAAGAAATAATATTAATAACAAGAGTCCCCTGTCGTCCAGGGGTTGGCTGATTGATACCCCTGACCAGACCTTTCACGATATTGGCATTTCGAGGAGTGGCAGTCAAATGACCAAAGCGCTTGGTTGTCGAGGCTCAACTTGAACAGTGCCCGGGCCCAAGGTCAGCGGCGCTCGAGTATGCGAGACATTCGACTATTGACGAATGTCACCGGTGCTTTCGAGGCTCGTTACGGAGTAGTTACTCATGTAACAGTACGGCGTGCGTTGCGGAGCATCAAAATGGGAACGGATAACACGTTGGCATGTCCACCAGAGCAGTGAATCCTTATGTTCACGTCAAGCGAGGTGACGGAGTAGCTCTTGTTGCCACCCCTTCCTTGTCCGCCAGCCTCCGTTTGCCCATTTGCCCATTTGCCCATTTGCCTCAGTCAATCGATCCCGTCTCGCCCTCGGCCGCTCTTTCTCTCCTTCTCCTTCCCTCTCTGGTCTGCAGCTCGGTGCTGCCTCGCCTCGGTCCTCCGTCCAGTTGCCAGGCCACACAAGTCCAAGTTTTTGTTGCGGCCCAATCAAGCCAGTCAAACCAGTCAAACCAGTCAAATCCGTCCAACAAGTCCAAGCAAGGCCCGTCGATAAATCCTGGGCTGGCATTTTTATTTTCTCATCCCCCATACTCTTGCCACCTCGTTGGTTGTTTTGCGCCTGCTTTGCTCCTGTTCGTCTCGCGGCCATTCAGTTCTGGTCAGGGCTTTTTTTTTTTTCTTGCCAAGTTCTATCTACTTCTTTTGCTATCCCCCCGTACTGGGACCAACAAAAAAAAAAAAAAAAAACTCGCCTCTGCCACGACCACCCTTCTGCACCGACAACCCATCTTCGATCGCCCGTTTCCCCCCAAGCAATAGCTTACTGCAACTCCTCGGGACGGGCCTGAACCGCGGCGCCACTTCTCCTACTGAGCTGTTTTGCTTGGTACTTTTTTCCCCTCTGGAGTTGGGCCCCTTTAGACTCGCGTACTCGGTTAAAGTGCCAGACCCCCCCCCTCTCCGAGTCCAATATCCAAGATAACCTTGTTTCGAAGTTCGGGACCGCCCTCCTCCATCAGGTTTGGCCGTCCCGCTCTGATAGCCTAGAGCCCGTTTTGGGGCCGACTAGAAGATGAAGTTCTTTGGCGGGAGCAAAAAGCAGTCGGCCACCTCGACCTCGTCGTCAAGGAAGCATACGCCTAGTTCTAGTGTTGACGACCGCGACTTTTTGCAGCCCCAAGCGCACCCACACTCGGAACCTGCGTCGCCCACCAAGAGCTCGTCCAACCACAAATCTCCGTCCAAGAAAAGTTCGCGGCCTGTGTCGTACCGTGAGCCCAGGGACGCTTCTACCGAAAAGCCGTCGTCGGCCTCCTCCACTCCTCGCCAGGCGAGGCTTTCTCGACACTCCACCGAGCCTTTGTCTACCTCGTCCTCGCGGCGCAGCAAATTTGGCCCTGACACGCATCCTCTGAATTTGCCGCCTGAAGAGCGCCGTCGCTTGTCTAAATTGTCCAGTTCCAACATGAGCGATCACATGGACATCGACCGGGAGCCGGTCAATGGCGCCTCGTCGCCTGCCTCGCAGCCGCAGAGCAACCCGTCTGCCCAGACGAATTTCTCCGTTCCTGTTCCGAATGGAAACCATCACAATGACGCTCCGGCACCGCCGCCACACAGATCCAACCCTTCCAGTCCCGTACCGACGGCTCTGGACGACGCTGAAGCCTACAAGGCCGCGGGTAACAGATTTTTCAAGGACATGAATTACACAAAGGCTATTGAACAATACTCCAAAGGTAGGACCATGCGTGGATCTGGCTTCTTCATCTTCCTCTTGGCAAAAAAGTTCCTTCTCGGCTAACTGGTAATACCACTTCCAAGCCGTCGATCTGTTTCCCGACTCACCTACTTACTTGAGCAATCGCGCCGCCGCTCGCATGTCCAACGGCCAATACGTGGCCGCACTAGAAGACTGTAGTCGCGCTGCCGATCTAGACCCTCAAAATTCCAAGGTTTTGTTGCGGCTCGCTCGTATCTACACTGGTCTGGGCCGCCCCGAGGAAGCCATGACGACCTTTAATCGCATTACGCCCGCGCCATCCTCCAAAGACATGGCTCCCACTAGGGAGATGATGTATCACATTGACACCGCCAAGCACATCCTGAAGCAAGGTACTGGGGTTACAATGGCTCTCCATTCCATTGACCAAGCGGAACGAGGTTTGGGACCTGGTGTCTCGAAGCCTCGCAAGTGGCAGCTCCTTCGCGGCGATGCACATCTGCTTGTCGGCCGTGAGAATAATTTGGGCGAGGCACAAGGTATTGCCATGTCTCTGTTACGGAACAATGCTCAAGACCCCGAAGCACTGTTACTCCGCGGCCGAGTATTGTATGGCCAAGGCGACAACGCCAAGGCCATCCAGTCATTTCGTATGGCCCTCACCTGCGATCCAGACTACCGTGACGCCGTCAAGTGTCTCAAGACTGTGCAGAGGCTAGATCGCATGAAGGAGGAAGGTAATGTCGAATACAAGGCCGGTAGATTCCAAGCCGCCATCGGAAAGTATAGCGAGGCTCTCGAGGTTGATCCCAACAACCACAGCATCAATGCCAAGCTCCTACAGAACCGCGCTCTATGCAAGATCAGGATCAAGAAATACGACGAGGCAATTGCTGATGCCGAAAGGGCAGTCAGCCTTGATCCGAGCTATCTCAAAGCCAAAAAGACCAAGGCCAACGCGCTAGGCCAAGCTGGAAAATGGGAGGAGTCTGTTCGGGAGTGGAAGTCGATTCAGGAGGCTGATCCAGCAGACCGCACGATTCCAAGAGAAGTCCGCCGAGCAGAACTCGAGCTGAAGAAGAGCCTGCGGAAGGATTACTACAAGATTCTGGGTGTAGAAAAGGACTGCGGGTCTGATGATGTCAAAAAGGCCTACCGTAAGATGGCTATCAAGCTTCACCCTGACAAGAACCTGGACGATCCAGATGCCGAAGCCAAGTTCAAGGACCTGTCAGAAGCCTATGAGACCTTGAGCGATCCTCAGTAAGCTCAACTCCAGGTTCCATCATCTATCTCATCGACCCAAATACTGACCCCTCGAACAGGAAGAAGGCTGCATACGACAATGGCGACGATCTCATGGACCCGGCAGACATGTTTGGCGGCGGAGGCATGGGCGGCATGGGTGGAATCGATCCCGAGATTCTGTTCAGCATGATGGGTAACCAGGGTGGCTTTGGCGGAGGGGGCTTCCGATCCGCTGGCGCAGGATTCCCAGGCGGCGCTCATTTCAATTTCACCAATGCCAGCGGTGGTCGGTCCCGAGGCGGCCAATTCCCCTTCCAGTGACCACCAGCCGAAGACGAGCAAGAGAGCGAGGCGGATGAGCAGGAGGAGAAGGATACAGCTCAGTGGGAGACGGACTACAGCGATTCTCAGGTCACGCCTATTTCCGAGGATCATGCTATAGCTATGGAGCAGGTCAAGCGTCACTATCAGCAACGCCGCGACGCCCACAACAATCTAGTCGATACATTACGTCAATACAGCATGGTGGTGCTTGCAGCTGCGGTTTTCTTGCCGCTACACCTTGCCGTTGCCACTGTTTTCTGCATTGCACTTGTGTATATATTGATGAGATAGTTCGGCCTGAGTAGCCGCAGGACGACGAATCCAACTGGATAGGCCGTGTTTCGTCTGTTTTTTTCGTCGTTTTTTTTTCCTTTTGGACGGGGGTGGAAATGGAGAGCAAACAAGCAAAGACGCACGTCGCATGTTAACATCTACAAGGCGTTTATAAACCATTTCGAAAGTGCTTTTGTTAATTTCTATTCACTCATGTTTTGTTTTACATTTGTGTTCTTCTTTTCTGGAAACAAGTCACGACTAGACAACAACCAGTCTCGGCTGATTAGGAGGAAGCACATGACGCACGGTCGGGGGGAACAGTTTCACAAGGAGACGAATTGTTTCTATTGGCGGATAGAAGTGCACGTAGACAATGACGTGTGTATATAGACGAGTTTGATGTCGTTTCTAACGTGCGGTGGAACGCCTCGTCTCACGACGCAAAAGGGGGGGTATCAAAAATGTCGACCTCCATCTCATTCCTCTCTACTCTGGTGCACCGTGACGACGCCAACCAGCCTTCTGGGGAGGCAAAGTCCGTCTCTTGCCCCCGCCCAGCAGGCCGCGGCAGGACCTAGATCGCTTTCGCGCCGTGGTTGTTGCCGGCGGCGTCAGGGGCACCATTCAGCCCGACGTCGGGCAGCGCCGCGCCGCCCGTCTCGCGCAAGACCCGCTCCACGTCGGGCCTCAGCTCGGGCAGCGCGGCGGCCGTCTCGCGCGCCAGCGCGTCCCTGAACTGCCCGAAGGCGTGCATCTTGCCGCGCATGAGCTGGTTCCCGCGGCGGACGAGCTCCACGAACTCGCGGGTGTAAATGTCCGGGTTGCGCCCGTTCTCGACGTACTCGAGCAGTTCGGGGGGCACGGACGGCAGCGACGCGTTGCCCGACGCGGTCGTTGCGTGGAGGGCTTGCAGGCTCGCCGAGAGGGTTTTGCTGCCCGCGCGTTAGCGTTTGGTTTTTTTTCCAGGCGAGTCGGTGTCGGTGCCGGTGCGGGGGATGGGGTCTTGTTCTTGAGAGCCCGGCGGGAGGAGTGTCTGTTACATTTCGTTGGAGAGGACGTCGCGGCTGGGGCGGCCGGTGGTGTCGTAGGTTGAGACCTGGACCATGATTTGGTACAGGTCTTGGATGATATCTTTGAGCTGCTCTGCGGAGGAGGGGGGTGGTTAGTCGGCTTGTCGCGGGACGTGGGGGGAGGTCTGCGTACGCTCGAGGACGTCGTGGTCTAGGCGGTCGACTGGTGCCATGGTTTGTGGTGGACGGGATGCGAGATGCGATGAGGGCGCGGGTCTGTGGAAACGGAAAGGTTTGACGTCTTTGGGAGGTCTTTTGGAGGTTCGAGGGGCAGGGCGGGGCGGGGCGGGGCGGAACCCGGCGGACGGCGCGTTTGTCGCACGGCAACGGCATGCCCAACGCGCCCTAGCATACCCACCTAGGGCTAATGGACACGCACGCGCACGGGATTAAGTTAATGCGCACCTAGAGCGTAGAGCTAGGCGGCGCACTTATTTAAAGAGCGCATATAATTCTCTCTTTTGTAGATTAATTTAAGGCTTTTAACTATTATCTAAGTAATATCTAGCTTAGTGCTACTGCTATTATATAATAGTTATAAGCCTAGAAGGTATTAATTAACTTCTGTAACTTCTATTAGTATATTAAGCATTCTTTATATATATTATATACTTATTATTTTTATTCTAAGCTAACTATAAGCTAATCTACTAAGCTAACTATACTAGTAGGCGCTATTTTAGCGCTAGTAAAGCTTCTTTATTTCTCTATAAATTAAAAGAATTAGTATAATATAATATATAGTTATTATAAAATATAGAAGATTTAGAACTATATAGACTTTAATTAATTAGAGTAGAAGTTTAATAGTTTCTCTAAGCTTAAGTGCTTAATAATAGTAAAAGCTAAGGTTCTTTATAAAGTATATTATTACTTTAATTTAACTTATATAGTTACTAAGGTATATAACTAAGTATAAAAGAACTATAAGTATTAATATACTAACTAGCTATATAAAGAGAAGAATATAACTTATATATATACTTAGTTTGTGCTGTTTTAATTAAACTAAGTGTATATTAAGTAACTATAGTTAAGCTAGAGAGAATAAATTCTAAATTTACTTTTAAGCAGCTAGTTAAAGCGCTAAAGGTGCAGCTTACTCTAAATAATTTAAGTATTTATATAGAAGCTTATAAAGCCTATAAAGTAGTTTTTAAAGATACTTAATATATAAATTAAAATCCTAAGAATTAGTATTTTTAATAAAGTAAAGCCTTTACTTATACTACTATAGAAAAGATTGCTAAGATCTAGAGTATTATTACTATTTATAATTTCCTTAAGGCAGCTAGATCTTACTATAATTCTAGCTAGGCTAAAACTTTAATTAATATAATAAGAAACAATAAAAGTATTAAAATACTAAAGACTTATATACTTAGGGATTTTAGCAATATATTTAATAGCTACCTTACTTAGAATAAGTATAGTAAGTTAAAAGCTAAAAGTATTTATACTACCTTAAGTAAATACTTAAATTATAAAGATAATAAGAATAATACTAATAATAATACTTAAGGTAATAGTAGTAATAATTAAAATAATACTTAAAATAATATAAAGAAGAAAAGGTGCTTTTATATACCTAAGGATTTATTAGAATAATATAAAGAAGAAGAGGGGCTTTTATATACCTAAGAATTTATCTCTTCTTTATCTCTAGAGCGCTTAGAAATATAGAAGACTATACTATATACTTATAGAAGACTAAAGTCTTAAACTTTATATATACTTAACTAAGAAAGAGATTATATAAATAAAGAACTACTATAATAGTAATAAATAGAAGAACTTATACTTAAAGCTATTAGTAGAAGGCATAAAACTAAGCTTATAGAATAACTAGAGCTTTAATAAGAAACTATACTTTTTTAATAAGAGATTTAATAGCACTATTATAGATCTCTAAATTACTTAATTTTATAAGTAATACTTTAGAATTTATATAGTTAAATAAGCTAAATATCTACTCTTCTTAAGCATACTATTAGACAACTATAGTGCTATATATCTTATTAATAATATTAATCTGCTTAAGCTAGGCTTATTTAGAGAGATAATAAGAGAATATATAAAGGCAGAAGTAATAAGCTATTTAATTATTAGAAGAGGTATATATATACTTAGAAAGATTCTATATAGTAATAATAGCGCTAAAATAGTAGACCTTACTCTTAGTAATATAGCTCTTATTAAGAACTTCTATATTAATATTATCTTAGTAGATCTTTTATATAAAAAGAGAGCTTAGCTTTATAGTTATAATTATATATTATACTATAAACTATTAGAAAGAAGTATAGTGCTAGCTTAGCTAGTTAGAAAGTTCAGCTTAATTTTTCTTAAATATAAGCTTCTTAATAACTATATAAAGAACTCTTAAGAAAATACTATAATCTTAAGCTCTCTTACTATTATTACTATAAGTAGTTATACTTAAAATATATATATATAAAGCTCTTAGTGCTAGAGGCCTAGTAAGAACTCTCTAAAGCTAAGAGAAAATACCTCTAAATTATAGTATTTATAAGCTAGCTATCTTAGTAAAGCTGCACTTAAGAAGCTCTACTTAAATGCTAGAAATATATATATAAAGGGAATTAAGTATAAAGACTATAATGTTTATACTTAAGTATACTTAAGTGCTTATATACTAAGTTATATCTAGGCGCTCTAGAGAGTATATATTACTATATTTATTTTAGTATATATATTAAGACCTCTAAGATTACTTACTTAGTTATAATAGTATAAATTAGCTCCTAGTATTTAAGGATAAATACTTTAAAATAATATAAGTATATTTACTCTTTAATAAAGCATAGAAAATAGTATTTAATATGCTTTTTTACTATAAGCACTAAGTTATATAGTAATTTAGGCTATTAATATATAAGTTTATATAGAATAATAAGAGTACTATAATTTAGCAAGCAGGCAAATCTATATTTTAACGCTAAGTATATATATAAGGAATTAAGCTTAAAAACTCTCCCCCTTATATATATAAATTTAATAGTAGTATTAAAAGAGTAGGCTAATTAATTATACTATACTTAATTAAGATACTTATAAGCATAGGCCTATCTATAAACTTATAGTTAGAGAGTATATAAGCTATAGTATATCTTTATAATATAAGCTCTTGCTAAACTACTAGTTAGAAATTACTATAGTAAACTCTAAACACTTAGTTCTATAATAATACTTAATTGCTAATAAGAGAGTATATAGTAGACTTAAGACTTAATTAAAATAGAGTCTATATATATAGCTGCTATATACATCTACTTAAAAGAGATTACAAAGCAGGCTATAATAAATAGTACTATAAAATAAGCTCTAGAGGCTATATTAAGTATCTAGTTAGATATTCTGCCTTTAATATATACTAAATATAGATTCCTTGTACTTTAATAAAGTTATAATAATAAAAAATATAATATTTAATAAGTCTATCTTTTATAATATATATATAGAAAGTATAGTTAAGCTTTTTATAATAAAATTAGAAGCTTAATTTATAGCTCTTTAAATTAATAATAAACTAGATAAAGAAGTAAACTACTTACTTTTCTTTATAGAAGATAATACTATAGTAAAACTTAATATATATTCTACCTTAAGAGTAGAAGCTTAAATAATCTCTAAAGATAAAGAACTAAGTATAGTAGAGCTAGAAATATATATAGAACTTTCTACTCTATATTAAATACTTAATTATATATTTAATATAAATAATAATACTAGTAGTAAGCCTAAGCAGCTAACTAGTATGCTATAAGCTTAACTAAGTATTAAGTTATAACCTCTTTAAATATAAATACTAGCTTAAACTAAAGATAAGACTTAAGTAATCTTACTAACTAACGCGCAATAAAAGTAGAGTATATTAGCGCTAGAGGCTTACTAAGCGCTAAATAAGTTAGCTACTTACTTAGATATATAGCAGAGAGCTTAAGTCTTAATAGAGGCATTTGCTGTTAATAACTATAGAATAAAGAGCTTATAAAGTATAGAAGCTCTATACTATAGTATAAAGTAAGCTAGAAAGAAGCGCTAAGATTAAAGTGCTTTATATAGAAGACGTTTTAATATATATTTAATATAGTATTTATAGCAACTACTAGAGAATATTCTGCTTAATTAGTAGAATATAGATAGAAAAGCTATATAGAGCTTTATAATAGTATATATAGTAATTAATGTAATATATAATAAGGAAAATAGAGCTTAGCTTTAGTAATAGCTTAATTTAGAGAAGGTTTACTTAACTAACCTAGTTAAAGCGCTTAGGTTTTAAAAGAAGATGTAAAACTACTTATTAAAAGCTTAATAAAAGGAAGTGTCCTAGAAGAAGATATAAAACTACTTATTAAAAGCTTAATAAGAAAAAGCAATATCTATAGAGGTTACTATACTATATAATAAAGGCACCTAGAAGGAAATTAAGTATATAAATATTTAGTCTAGGCTGCTGCCTCTTAAGTAGGTTTATACCTATAAGTTTAATAAGAGAGGTTATCTTAATAAATATAAAGTATATATTTATATATATAGTAATTTATAGAACTACTTTATAATTAAATAAATCTATATAGTAATACTTATAGTATATATATTTTAAATTATAATAATACTAGCTGCTAGGTATAATATAAAATTACTATAATTTAATGTTAAGAATGCCTTTCTATATATAAAGTATAGTAAGTATATAATACTAGTAATATATAAGCTCTCTAATAGTTACAAAATACTAGGGAAGTATATTTAATTACTTAAAGCTTTATATAAACTATAAGACTTACTAAGCTTATAGTTTAAAGAGCTAAGTATAACTCTTAAGAGAGCTAGGCTTAATCTAAGTAAAGAAGAGCTATATATCTTCTTTAATAAAGCTTAAAATATCTATTTAATATTCTTTATAAATAATATTATACTTGCTTTTTATAAGGAAAGAGAAGTAAGATAAGTAGTAAATTATATAGTTTAGTGCTTAAAGTAAGTATATAATCTAGAAGAGAAAAGCAAACTAAGCTTCTTTCTAGGCATTTAAATTATTAAAGACAAACTATACTAGAAAATTTTCCTTTATTATAAGGCTTATATAGAAAAGATTAGTTAAAAGTTTAGTTAAGTATAGAAAGCTACTTTTCCTACTATACTAATCTCTATAATAAAGCTTATATAGTATATTAGTAAGGCAACTAAGCAAGAAATTAAAGCCTACTAGAAAAAGGTTAGCTCTTTATTATATATAGTAATTATAATTAGACTAGATATTGCTTATACTGCTTCTAAGCTTTTATAATTTCTAATAAACCTAGGCTCTAAGTATTAAAAAGCAGTAAATTAAGCTATTTAATACTTAGCCTTAATAAGTAAAGTTGCTCTTTATTATAGTAGTATAGAGGAAATTAAAGCGTTAGAAGTTATAAGTAATGCTTTATATATAGATAATTTAAGTATATAAAGGTTATTATAAAAATATATTATTATATTATTTAGAGGTCTAGTTATCTAGAAAGCTATATACTAAAATATAGTAACTACATTTATAATAAAGGCTAAACTGCTTGCTTTATAATAAGTAGTAAAGAAGATTATAGCTTTAAAGCGCCTTTTTTGCGCCTTTTTTGCAATATTTATTTTAACTTAAGAGAGAATTATAATATTTAATACAATAATTAGCAGATAATTTATCTTATGCTTAATTTAAGCAAGCAAATTAATATACATCTACACTATATTAATATCTATAATATATAGTTAAAATAGAAATATAAAAAAGAAAGCTTTAAAGTTATATATTTACCTACAGCTAAGATGCCTACTAATAGATTTATAAAGGTATTAAATAAGTAGTATTTTAAACACTTTAGAGGCCTACTTAATTTAGTTAATTTAAGCAGCTAAGGCTAACTCTTATAATATTATAATTATATAAATAAAAGTATAGCTAAGAGGGGGCATTAAATTAATTGCCTCTTAAATATATAAGCGCCTACTTCTTCTAAGTAAAGCGCGCTTAGAAGGCAAATAAAATTATATAAAGTAATACTAAAATACTAAACACTAAAATGCCTATAGGCAAAAGCAAGCTGCTACTTATATTAAAATATATATATAATAGAATAATAAAAGTAAAGCTTACTTCTTAATAACTAAGTCTATAACTTAGTTAAGTAAAGCTTTTATATAAGCTTTCTTTCCTCTAGCTGCTAATAAGCCTCTAGTAGTATTATTAGCCTTAATGTTAAGTATAGACTCTTTATATATAGAGTTAGACTCTATAAGAAAGTTAAGCTGTAATTAAAGTGCTTAATAGTACTTATTATATATCTATAGCTTAAAGTATTAAAATTAAGTATAGAATTAGAGGTAATAAAGCATTAAAAGCTTACCTTACTATTTATACTTAGTGCTAATAGTATCTACTTAGCAATAAAGACTAATATAGCATAACTATATATATAATTAGTAATTAGCTAATTAAAGGAGTAAAATTTAAGCTTACTAAGGCTAGTAAGTATAATTACCTGCTTTATATAAGCAGCATTATTTAGAGCAACTAGTAGTTACCTTAAAGTAGCAACCTTTATTGCCTTTGCCTATAATAGCTGCATAAATACAGCCCTTATAGAGCACATTATATAGTATATCTAGCTCTAGAGATTTAGTCTAATAGTTAGCGTATAGAACTTATAAAGTAGCGCTTCTAAGCATAACTTACTCTCTATACTCTTATAGGCCTAGCAGGCTATAAGGAACAATAACGCATAGAGAGAGGAGGCGTTGCTAGCGCCTCCTTAGTATTAGGAGTAGAAGCAGCACTGCTAGGCTGCTCCTTAAATATAGTAAATATAGATATGTCTTAATCTGCTAGAAATAGCTGCTAGCAGTTAGCGTAAATAGACCTGCCTAACCTAGTAGGCATAATAATAATAATAATAATAGTAATAATTAAAATGTAAGCTTGTAATTATATAAAGGCAGTTGCAGAAGAAAGGAAAAAGAGAGCTTATAATACTCTTAGAAAGTATATATAAATATAAAGAGCAGCTAGCTAATAAGCAGATAGCGCTTACTTTTAATTTACCTAAAAAATTAGTATAGCTATACTATATAACAACAGAAAAGAGGCAAATTAAAGGCATTAGTAGGTATATAAGAGCTTTAATTAAATGCTCTATTAAGCGCACGCTTATAGAGTCTAAGGCTTGTAATAGCTTTAAATGCAGCTTTAATTAGGGGGTATATTACACAGCAACAGCATGCTTAACGCGCTCTAGTATACCTACCTAGAGCTAATAGATACGCACGCGCATAGAATTAAGTTAATACGCACCTAGAGCGTAGAGCTAGGCGCACTTATTTAAAGAGCGTATATAATTCTCTCTTTTGTAGACTCTTTTGTAGAATTAATTTAAGGCTTTTAACTATTATCTAAGTGATATCTAGCTTGGTGCTACTGCTATCGTGTGACAGCGGGGCAGGCGGGGGGCAGGCGGGGCGCGCCGGAGCCCTTCCTTCTCCAGGAGACGAGAGCCGGCGATGTAGGCTCTAGTTGAGGCGGTCACGTGATGGTGAGGGCTGGGACTCGGGCGTCGCGCGGGGTCTGGACTTAAGCACAAGACACGACGCATCTGGCATCGTTTCTTCTCTTTGCACTTGAAAGCCTCAATGCGCGGCGGCTCATGCGGCCTCGGGATACAAAAGCAAGGGGCGGGCACGTTGCAAATTCACTGGCCGTGAGTCGTGATGGACGACATGGCCAGCGAGTTGTTGGCTAGCATCTCGTGGGTTTCATACTATATCATGCTCGAGAGCTTGACTCTTGTGGATAAAAGAATGCTACGCGACAGTGAGTCTTCTCTGGCCATCCCATCGCCTGGTCTGGTCTGGCCAGGAGCAGGAAGCCCAACTCACGCGTATCCAGGGGCCCGGGGGCAACGGCGTTGACGCCGATTCCGCGACGCTGCAGCTCCTTTGCGACGCCGCGGGTGAAGTGCTCGACGGGAGCCTTGGATCCGGCGTATGAGGTATAAAGGCCGGTAAAGGCTGCGAGGAGAGCAGTGACAATGGTGATCAGCTTGCCGCCGTCTTGGATGTTTCCTCGCCGACCTTGAGAATGAAGAACCCAGACTTGGAGTTGCGCTACGTTTGCCATGCTGAGTTTCGCCTGGGAGTTTTCCTTGCAAAAAGGGGGTTGGAGGATGTCTCCCCCTCGACCCAAAAAGGTCACCAGTTTCCATTTCCAATCGAGGCAGTGAAGGCCTTCAACACGTCTGCTATCCCGAGGGCTTCAAAGTGCCTGACTGGAGCGTTTCAAGCGACGAGGCCTTCAACAAGTTAGTGGGTGTTCATTCGGTAATCTTCTCCGTCAGCGGGCCAGTGTTACTCCCCTCTCCGACCCAGAGAAGAGCGAGCCATAAATAACTCAAACGCCATGAGGCTGTCGTCTCCGTTCATGCCGTCAACCACAAAGGACTCATTTCATTTCAGCGAGAGGCTGCCAATGCCTTGCTTCGATTGGCCGCACGAGACGGGATGTGCTGCCGTGGACATGATGCTCAACAAACGTCTACAGCAGTTTCCCAATGTCAAGATCATATTGTCTCACGGCCAAGGCGGCGCGGGCCACTGTGATAGCGCTACCCGAGTACGGGGCTATCCTGAGCGCCGAGGACATGATGAGGCAAGCAAAAAGCCTCTACTTTGACCCCGCGACCATGTCATTTTGAGCTTTAATCCAGCATCTTCCTGAACCCGAACCCCGATCGCCTCGCCGTGGTTCCGCCTCCCGAATCGGGCCCGAGGCGGCGCAGGCCATGCACGGGTCATGGGCCATGTGCCATGGCATAGCACGGTGTTGTGGCGGAGTGTGCCTAGTACGACGTGAACAAAAGAAAGCAACTCGCTTGGTGTTGCACACGTAGCAGTGTGGTGGAACGAAGAAAAGAGAAGAGAAATTGCTCATGACTTCATGACTGACTTGGTCGGGTTTCCGGCAGGTCTTGTCTTGTCACTTGTCACTCTTGTGTCCTTGGCTCCTTCCCTCTTTCCTACACCGTGACTTCTGTGCGTCCCCCGTCCGTCAGGCGTTCGACTTTAACAGCCCGCATCCCATTTGACTTCATCTCAATTGTTCCAGTGGCGCCGACGACAAAGTGATCAATCTGCAATCCAGGGATTCTGCAATCGCTCTAAACAATTGTTGCCTCAGACTACTTTCATCAAGCTATCGGCTAATACACCGAGTACGCCGCGGATGCACGCTTTCCCTAGGCACATACTGAGCCTCGGGGTCAGCGATATCCAACCATTTCCTAATCGGTTTTCCGCATGCTCTCTGCCGTGGTGCCGGGCCAATACGTCTCTCATCACTGCCAAGAGCAAAGGCTGCACGTGCCATGGAATTTGAATTTGTCATTGGCAGCCAGCCGCAGGAGCTCAAGGTCGACACCAGTCGTAAACTTCGATCATATCTGTCCAAGCGGGCATGGAGGGAACACCGCGCCAGGTACGAGCAGTCACGGAGCACGTCTGAGTCCTCGCCACTTAACACGTCCTCTTCGGTGTCGCAAAGCGAAGCCCAGCATTCAAGCCGCGGGGGCACCGTAGACGGCGATGCCAACCTTGCCACGCAAGCAGCTGCCACCAAGGCGAACCGCCGGAGGAGACACAAACTTCAGACGGTCACGTTTGAATGCATTGCCACTGGCCCGATTGCGCCGCCACCACCCGCCTTGACATGGGCGACCATCCAGGATATTACTGGCGTCAGGGAGCTTGATGATTGTCCCGAGGACAGACTGCTCCAGCTGTTCGCCCAGAGCCTCGCGAGGTCCCCTCCTATGGATACGCACTTCGGGGGCGGTCGCGTAGATCCCTTCAGATCATACCCAGGGCCATGGCAGCCTTATATCCCTGCATTGGCAGACCATTGTAAGTACATTCTGCGCCAGGCTGGCACAGAAAGCCGCGTGGTCAGGACACATGCTCCCTCCCCTCTCATGGCCCGGCTGGCTTTAAACGGCATCGCTCACCGTCGACACAGATATCGTACAAATGGCCAGAGACATTCCTGAACTGGACCAGCCGGGCAACAGGGGCCTTCTGAGGTCCAGATGGTTCCCTCTAGTTCTGTCTGACAACGCTCCGTTCCAGGTGGTCATGCTACTTGCCGCAGCCAACTACGCCTCGGTCAACAACATCAGCACTCTAGGGTGCCATATTCTCCGGATGAAACAAGACGCCATCACGGTCATCCACAACACCTTCAAGGACGAAAGGAAGCTGGCCAGCGACTGCCTCATCGGAGCCGTCGCCAAGATGGCCAGCTTCGAGGCCATGCACGGCGACGTGCTGTCTTACCAAACGCACATGGCAGGCCTGGTGCGCATGCTGGAACTGAGAGGCGGGCTAGACGCGCTGGGACTGGGCGGCCTGCTCCGCCGAATTATCGTATGGATAGATCTCAACTCTGCGTTCCTGCTCAACGTCCCGCGCTACTTTCCCGGGACGACCTTCACTGGCGTCGAAGAAAAGGAGGTGACGGAGGTTGTCGAGCCCAACCCCGAACGATTCATCGCCGTCTAGAAGGTCGTCTTGGTACCCCGTCATGACGACGGTGAAATGGACGTGATTGCTTCCCCCACCAGTCACTTGAGTGCCCATCGCATGCTCACTTCGTCGACGAAGCGGGATGGGGGACCAGTCAGCACAGTAACTTCCAGCTTCATTACTTCAGTGATGCACACACAAACACCAACCACCCCAAGAGGCCGACAATGTGCACGGCCGGAAGATCAAATTCGATTAGACCAGATTGTATTAGTAAAAATATAATTTTGTATAATACCCACCACGTTCCTCGTCATCAACTCAGCCAAGGAATGCAGTAAGCAGCAGGGCACTTGTAACACTTGTACCGCCGTGCACACAGATGCGCTACTATCCATAAAAACCGGCGTCAGAGAATCATAAGTTCATCCAAGCATGTACTGTCCTCACAACACCATGTCACTTGCATCCCATACTCCTCGTTTATCCCGTGATTATGCTCGGTATACGTCGGCTCGGGGGACTCCGACAATAAGCCCCGCGGGCTGTTTTTGTACTTTCTATGCGCCACGTTGGGAAATGTGCAGCAAAATCCCCATGCATGTAAAGAAAAGGTGAAAAGGGGGGAGGAAGGAAGGAAGGAAAGAAGAGGGAGGGGAGGGTCAAGCCAGGGGCACCCGAAAGAAGGAGGGAAGAAGTGAAGGAATTTTTTTTTTCGTTTTTTTTTCTCTTTTCCCCCGTTTTTAACTCGAAAAGAACAGGTGAATTAGGAGCAGCACCCGTGACGTTTTCGTCTTTCAACTAAAACAGGGCCAGGGCACCGACCACGGCTGCGACAACATACCCAGCTCCAGGGGTCTTGGCTGGGGCGGCAGCCGTGACGACGGGGGCAGAAGTCTGGGTGCCGACAGGGGCAGAAGTCTGGGTGACGACGGCGGTGGACGAAGGGACCGTCTGCTGGACGGTGTTTGTGCTCTGGTGGACCGAGGTGACGACGCCGCCGGGTATGGTGACGGTGTGGGTGGCGACGCCGCCGCCGACGTCCTGGGTGACGGTGATGACCTGGAAGGACGACAGGGTTTGTCCGGGGGCGGTGACGGTCTGGTAGAGGACAGTTGAGTGGGGGACCTCGACGACCTCGGTGCGGGTCTTGACGACGGTCTTCTTTTCGCCGCCGACGGTGACGACCTCGGTGGAGGGCACGAGGTTGGTGACGGTCTGGTAGGCCACGCTGGTGAGCGTGGCGGTGGTGCCCTGGCCCTGGATGGTCTTGATGACGGTCGTGGGGATCTGGGTCTCGATGAGGCTGGTGGTTGTGGTGGTGATGGTCTCCTTTTGGCCGTTGATGGTGGTGACAAAGGTGACGGGGTGGACGTTGGTAATTGTGGACTTGACCACGTCGGTGGCGGTGATTGTCTGGCCGGGCTGGGTGACGGTTTGCTCGACTGTGGTGGGGATGACGGTCTCGATGAGGCTCGTGGTTGTGAAGGTGACGGTTTGCTCCTTGCCGCCGATGGTGGTGACCTGGGTGACGGGGCAGAGGGAGGTGATTGTGGCGGTGATGCCGTGGACCTCAGTCTTGGTGTGGTCGGGCTGCGTCACCGTCTGGTGCTCAATGACGGGGACGAGCGTGGGGAGGAGGCTGGTGGTCGTGAAGGTGACGGTTTGCTCCTTGCCGCCGATGGTGGTGACCTGGGTGACGGGGCAGAGCGAGGTGTAGGTCGAGACGAGGATGTCGGTGGCCGTCTTGGTGACGTCGGGCAGGGTGACGGTATTATAAATGACGGTAGGCACCTGGGTCACAACGTTGCTGGTGACGGTCTTGGTGGTCACGTAGGTCGTTCCCGGGGCCGTGACGGTCTGCGTGACGGGACAGACGGTCGTGTAAGTGACGTCGACCTGGGTGGTGGTGCCTTTGGTGACGGTTGGTCCGGGGATGGTGACGGTGGCTCCTGCGCAGCCTCTGCATGCCGTGACAGTCATGGTCGACAGGGTAGATTTGGTCACCAAGACGGTCCTATATGCCCGTTAGTATCCATGGCCACGACGGCGAGTTGGGGGGGGGTGAGGGAGAGGGAGTTCGTATTGGCATCGTGACGTGATGTAGTGTCACGTGCTGGTGGTGATGCAGGCATGGAAAAGACAGCCGCAGCAGCAACAGCAGCAGCAGCAGCAACAACGACAAAGAGGCTTCCCACTTACGAGCCACCACGAGTCACCGTCGACGTATAAGGACAAACGGTAACCGTCGTATAAGTCACCAGGGTAGTCGTCCTGGTCGGCTGGCCCCATCTCGGCTCAAGCTCAACGTTACCGCCGGCTGCCCACGCCACGGCAGCACATGCCAATCCAACGATGAAAGACTTCATATCGAACCCAGCTTTACGGCAATGCCAACGTTAACGACAGTGAGGATGGTTCAATGGTTGACTCGCCAACCACTGGAGATTGGACGAGGAAAAGAGAGGCCGAGGGACCACCAGGTTTGGCCAGAAGAACGAGAGCAAGACCAGGCCGTCACTTGAAGGAACAATGTCCCTGCCGAGTAACGTTATATTATCTTTGCTTTTCTCGCAAGCAAGCGGTGTACCAACAGAGGTTGGGACGGACGTAAGGACGGGGCGGACGGAAACGATGGAAAAGAGAGGGCATGTGTGTGTGCCTCTGTTGACGTCGAAAAAGCGGTTGGGACGGAAGGGTTTATACGTCGACGAACAAGCCCAGAAGCACCGCGTCTTGTCCATCCTGTCCATCCGCCTCCGTGCGATAGGCTGCGCAGAACAGGATGACCAAGCCCCAAATCATGCATGGTATCATTCGAGGCGGCCAGCCTCCCCGACGGCGGCATGGGGGAAACACAGACGCCAGCACAACCGAGCAGTTCCTCGTTGCTCCCGATGCGTCCACACGCTTTCCGTTCCTGCTCAGACAAGGTATAAGGCGCAAATACGAACAGACCGTCTCCATTTCGTCTTCCTTTGGAGGCGGGGGGTGTGGGAGGGGTGGGAGGGAGGCCGACTGTGAAGCTCGGCACGAGAGACATTCGAGCCAGCTCGAGCTCGGCATACAGGCGGCCGCCGGCCACCCCGTCGTGCACTGTGATGCGTCTTGATCAGGACGGGCGGCAGAGCAAAGGTGCTGAGACGGAACCATTTCCCCCCGTAACGAGAGCCAAAAAGAGCAAGGACGAGAAGAGGCAAGGGTGTAAGAACCTGTCTGGTGTCGTGGTGTTTGGAGGGGTGGGAAAGGAAAAAAATGGCCAAGAAGTGTCGCCCTCGAGCTGCACGTGCTTCTTTTTTTTTAATTCTTATTCTAATTATTTCCCCCCCAATCGTTTGAAACAAAAGTCCGAGCAACCTTAAACCCGCTACCCGTTTACTCTGTTCACGGACAATGGAATGGCCCTTGTTAGCTTGTTAGGGAGCACGACACTAGACACTGGGTGCTGTCACGTCTTCTGTTCCCTTCACCTCGACTTGTTTATTTTGATGTTATTTCCAGCGTTGCGACAAGCCGGATGGGGGGCCAGGCCGCCACCACCGTCACCATCAACACGACCCCTTGCTGCATGGAGGTCCAGAAGACGTTTGTATGACGCGCAGGGGGGGGAAATACCTGGTCCAAGATGCCCTACGGCAGTGTTCAGCTGCAATCGGCCAGAGGTGCGTGTTGTGTCGTGTCTTCCTGGCATTCACCAGTCATCACCAACCAGCGCCGAGATGCACAGAATGGGAAGCGATCGTCCTGTGTCGGATACTCCCATCCGTGTCCGAGGTTGGTTCCATGTTTTGGGCATGAATCAGCCCTACCTCCACGGAGTGCCTAGCTGCTGGCTGTTCCGCTTGCTTGTTTCCGCAGCTCGTGAGCTCATCAAGCAGCGCCAACGGGCTCCCCAACGGGATCCCTCAACGGGCCTCGCGCCGACACGTCCAAGTAGCTTGGGAAAAAGGAACGAGCCAGACGAAAACTCGGTGCACCGCGCACGTGCCTCGACCCAACCCACAGCCAGGCCGCCAGGCCGCCAGGCCGCCGAGTCATGCTAGAAAGAACAACAATGATATAAACCGGTCAAGTCCGCGATAGGGAGCAGTTCAACCCGATGCCCACGCCTGGACCTAGGCTCTTCGACATGGTTGCTTGCCGGTGGCTGGCCAACAAGGGAACATTGAGCAATGACGCACGCACCAGCCCATTCGTCGAAACAACGAACCCCAACCTAAAATAAGAGAAAAATACTCCGTACTAGAAAAAAAACACGTCTCCGGTCTGCGGGACGCCCGCAACGCCACCCCCCTCCTTCCCGGTCCCGTCCCTGCCGAGAAGAGGGTTGGAGGGCAAGGGATCGGGGCACGGATGGATCGAGGGGGGAGGGGGGGGGCGCGAACAATGGAACAAGGAAACGAAACAACGCCGCCGCATGGCCAAGATCGAGCCGTGCTGGCAAAGACTGCAAAGACAGGAGAAGAAGAGCAAGAGGAAGAGGAAGAAAAAGCAAACCGCCCCATCAATCTGGCTTTGCGCATGTTACGCCACGCATGCATGCATCAGGTAGCCGACCTCGTATTCCGAGCGCTTTCCACCTCCACGGCGGCATGGATGGCTGGATGGGTTGGCCAAGCCAAGACGGTCTTCTCAATTGTTTCACCTTTTTCATCCATCCCGAGGCGCTTTTTGCTGTCCCCTCTCGCTCCTGCTCCTGCTCTCGCACTCACTCTCACGGGGCCCCGCGCGTACGCAGGTGCTTGCTCAACTCGTAGTACCATGACCATGTGAACATGCGGCGGCGTACGGGGTACGGACCGGGCGCAGGCGAGTGATTCTGTTGCAATTTGTATTCTCATCTCTACGTCTACTCTTCAAGGAATAAACCAATGACAGTGGCAATGGTAATGACAGTGACAACGACAACAACATGAATAGTAGCCGCTTCACTCTCACGTCGTGTGTGGGCCCGAATACGTGAATTACAAAGCCACACCCCGTCGAGCGCCTCCTCCATGTTGTCAACGGGGATTTTTTTTTTTTTTTTTTTGCCTTTGGCACCCCATGGGGAGAAGAAACGAGGGGAGGGGGGGACGGAGAGAGAGAGCAGGCAGGCAAACTCTTTCGGGGGGCACGACTTGTACCTCCCTTTTGGATTCACGTGCGGTATTAAGGGAGGCCGAGGACTCCGCAGCCACGTCCCGTGCTCCTCCGTATCAGTCGCCATCACTGACTGCATCAGCAAGCATTGGGCGGGCGGCGTCTGGCGTCTGACAGACCATCGTATGCGGGAGCGTTCCGATCCCGCTCGACTCCACCGCATCGTGGCGCCACAAGACAATCGATCAATCATTCGACTTGCCCGGCCGACGAGCGCATCGTTGACGACGCCGCCGACGACGCCGCCGACGACGACAGACGGCGCGCCATCTGGAGGGAGGCTGGCAACCTGGCGACCTGGCGGCCTGGCACATGTGGCTCGCCCCCATCGACACCACGCATACATGCACGGACTGGGAGCACCGAGTAGCCACCCGCATGCGCAATCATCAATAATGCGCCCGAGCATGCCAAAGACGAATGGTGCTCTACTGCTCTACGGCCCTGCTGCCCTATTGCTGTCCGTATTCTATGCACTCCGTGGTCGGTCGTAACTCGTCAAGCTCTCTCTAGTGAATCCGTTCCCGAGCCCTCGCAAACGCCTGCGAGGCGTCCATCAACAGACTGGCCACCAACAACACCCCGTTGAATACCGCCATCATGTAAAACGGGGCTCCCTTGGACACCGAGTCGAACAACGCTCCCCCAAGCTTTGTTAGAAGCAGGATTGCTGCCCCGCCACACAGCGAGTACACGCCTGCAATAGAACCCTTCAGTCTCACCCGTGACGCAGAGTCCTCGTTGGTGGTCGACATGCCCATCAGTGGCTCTGATTCCGCCGATTCGTCTTGGTCTGGTGCAATTGTCGGCTCGCCTCGCACTGACCAGGGCAGCTCGACTGCAATGACGCCTTGGCCCAGCGAGCCCAAGCTGCAAACTATGGCCCCGATCTGGCTGACGCCAACAAGTGTCACCACCACCAAGATCCACGGCGTTCCCCCCCTCTCGTCCACATTCTTGTACTCTGGGCTCGAGAGCTGCGGCAGAATCAGATATCCAATCATGCCCAAGGCCGTGGCCACAACAATTGGATAGTTCACTCGCCCACCTCGCCCGGATACGTATCCAAAAACTGGAGCGCATACCAGCCCCATCAGCTGTGCCACCCCAGTAAGAATTGACGATAGTACGTAAGCCGCCCGGCACTCCTCCTTCAGCTCCGGCGACGGGTCGTTCGGCGAGCCTTGGCAAAAGCCATTGCTGATGAAAAAGGTGTTGACGTAAAGCGGGATAAAGAGCGAAATGGCCACCGTCGACGCCCTGGCAACAAACCCACCAATATACCCAAGCGCAATTCTAGAGTCCGCAAACCCCAGAAGCACCGAATCCTTCATCAAATGGAGATAGGGAACCACCTTCTGATCGGCGTTAGTAGGCCAAAGCTCCCGAGGTCTCCCCGCCGTGTGTACTGGCACGCATACCTCTTGCTGTCTTCTGTCCACGTCATTCTCTCCCAATCTCGCATAGGCGTCTCGTTGGGAGATTCCAAACAAATTCATCCACCCTTTGCCCTCCTCACCCTTCAAGTTCCGGAGACCCATAAAAACAAAGGCCGCAGCAACCAACGACACAGCACCAACAACGTAGAAGCTATATGATACTGCCTGACCGGGTGTTACGCCATCGACGTCTCCAAACCTTGCGGGTAGCGGCAGAAACAAAGAGAGCGCAACAAGCGCGCCGCATCCTGTAAATAATCCCACCAAGCCAGCCAGGGCTGACGGTTTCGCAAACCTGCCCACTGCATCCTGTTGTTGACAAGAGGTACGCGAGTCGTTCGACAATGACCTAGTATAACGTTCCGGAGTAATGGTAGCTTCCGATTCCACAGAAATTGCAAGGCTCAATCGCTGGTTGGGCTTGTATCTGGACGGAGTCCTACCATCGCTCACATCCTCCTCATCCGTCAATGACGGCAAAATAGCCGTAACCATGGTCGCCCTACAGTTCCGCAGATAGCCAAGGTTAGCATGGATCCAAACGAAACAAGAAGAGAGTCGTCTTGGCTCGGTCCATTGTTCTCCGACACAGGCGACCATGGGATGCCAGGGGAGGGCGTCGAACTTACGCGGCCGAGGCCCCTACCGCGAACAAGATCCGCGCAAGCAACAGTTGCGGGTAGACATTTTTCGCCTGGACAAACAACACCAGCGCGAGTCCGATGATTGCGTACCCCATCACGGCAACCCAACGGACTCCAAGTCGGTCTGATATCAGACCCCATGTCGGGCATGCCACCAGGGCAACGATCTCGTCGGCGAAGCCCAACGTGCCCACGACATCGCCGACGTTCTTCTTCTGGCCGATGAGATCGGTAACGACAAACGATAAGGAGCTGTTGAGAAAGACGAGAAAGGCTATGGAAAAGAGCGAGATGCCGAGGAGGTACGTGACGGCTTGCACGGTGGTTGTCGATGGTGCAAACGGCAAATACCGGGCTATCATGGCCATGATTCAAAAGGCTCTTTGTGGATAACCTCTAGTCGGGAGGCAGTGAGAAGAATCACATGGCGTGGGTGGGAAGGGGGGAAGAATGATGTTGCTGGATGGAAAGTGGTGTGGGAGGGCGGCCAAGTCTGCGAAGATGATTCTGACGCGCTGATGAGTGCTCAGAACATTGTTTGGACGAGCCAATTCTCCACAGGGCTGGTGCGCCGTAGTTCCGTACTGCGGAGCTCCCAGCTCCGCACACTTTATGATTAGTTATGTAATCCATGCACCTGGACCTGCGGTCTCCGCGGCTCAAGTTCCGTTCGAATCGTGCATCGACTCAACGGTGCTCGGGTTGGTTTCCAGCCTCGAGTTGGCCAGCATCTCCAAGAGCTGTCCGACCTGCCGCCAAACAGTCGGTATGGATTTCTGAGCACCGCAGACCGACAGACAGCGAACTGCAACATGTCACAGCCTCACCAGAACGCGATGTCCCTCGACGCGCTGTAGCAAATCAATCACTGTACAGAACAGGCGGAGACCCATCCTCTATCTAGACAACCGTTGTCGTCAAGCGTTCCATGTTCGAACTCCCTTAAACACCTGCCTTGTTCCTAATTGATGATATTCCTGAACTCCTAACAAGCCGACTCCTTCGAAACCGCTTCCACCAAACAAACACCCCTCCCCCCGTTCGAGCTACCTCATCCGTCACAAACAGGAAGTCTAGTCCAGCCTACCAGGCCCAAAGCACCTTGTGATGAAGAGTCCTCGCGCCCAATCGCTCAAACTCAAAGGGAGTGATCCACGAGTCGTTCGTCGAAAGCTTGGCAAATACACTGGCACCCTTCCAAGCGACGACTTGCTCATCCATGTCCCTGGCACTTCGGCTTACCAAAATTCTGTCATACAAATCTGGTCGTCGGGCCTTGATCTTCTCCTCCAAGACCACCGTGAATTGCGGAATCTTTGAACCACCGCCAATAACCATGATGCTGCCCAACAAGTCACGAAGTTTCTTATCATCGCCTTTGGCTGCGTTTTGAATACTGGTTAGAATTGCAATGTCCAGAGGGGCCATTGGAAGGACACCGTCTCTTTCGACAGCAACGTCGCTCGCGCTCCGTGCACTGGACCCCACAAACATGCCAGAGGGCGCTTGTGAGTACTGAGACGGCTGCCCGGGAACAGGTGTACCTGTTGCGCGGGAGCCATTCAGAGCAGGACTGTCTGCGTTCAAAGCATCTTTTCCAGCTCCAAATATGTAAGGGGCTGGGGTTCCATTTCCCTCGGGAGCTGGAGAACCGGCATGAGAGCCAGCCGGCGTGCCATTTACTCCGTTTTCCCCCCGGACAAGAAAATTGAATGGTTGAGATCGTTCTTTGCTAGGAGTCGAAACATCCGGCTGTGACTGGGACTGTGGTGGACCGTTTGTAGCCGACATGATGGAGGGTTTGACCAAGGCCAAGATGGCAAGCTGGGCTGCGGGGGCTGGATCGTCCGGGATGTCGACGTCGTATGCGTTATATGAGCGCTCGACAAGTTTCCGGCGTCCTCGAAGCTTGGCGCTATTATCGAATATTGAGGGGTCAAACACCCCCATCGCCGACAGAATGACTTCATCATACGTCTTGAAGGTATATTTGCGAGTCGACTGGTTGGGGGCGCGAACGTGGAAGTTATAAAGCTGCACAGAAATATCGGCTTGAGACATGGTGCAGTGTTTGATTTTCAGTTCCTCGGCCAGCAGAAAGTCGTACCGTCTTTGAAGATTGATATCCTGGTAGGGAAAGTTGTCGTAGAGCATCATCTTGATGAAAGTCTCAGTAATGTCGTACCCGCCGTACTTCATGTTGATTCTAGAGTCTTCGATGCAGAGACCATCCTCAACGCAAGTGACTGACGTCTTCTGTGCACCAACGTCTACCACACAGGCTTGGGTATAGCCAGCACCAAAAGTAGCCGCTATACCCTCCTGGACAAAGCAAACCTTGTTAAACTCGAACCAAGTCATGCAAGACCGCAGGATTTGCTCGACGTATTTCTTGTCGTAGAGATCAGGGATCACAAACACACAGCTGTACTGTTGCCACTCGCTGTTGGTAGTCAAGCCAAGTTCTTGGCGAAGCGCTTTGTCGAGTAACGTCTCAAAATCATCGTACAGGTGCTCCTGGCTAGAGTACTCCTCCTCGTTCCACCATCCATGGCGCAAGGGCCACCAAAGTTTGAACTTGGGATCGGAGTCATCGGGCACACGGAGGGCATCGTTTCCAATAAAGCATGAGGCTAGCGAATTGGGGTCTTTGAGAGTCTTGACGTCTGTCCACTCTATCTCCAAGGGGTCGTTATGCTTCTCGATGATTTCTGGCTCTGTGCGACGGTTAAAAGTTTGCACTAATTCTTTAGAATTCGGCAAAACTTTTCTCTTGTTGGCGCGCATCTCAGACTTCAAGTCGCTGCACATTTTTGCATACTTTTTGGACCACTCTTCGCCGTATTGCTGATCAGTCGTCTTGGCCTCAAACTGGCGGCGTGGCAGGGCCTCGTACATCTCGGCCTCTGTTTGGGGAAACTTGGTTGCCAATGTGGTGGGAATCGTTCTGGGGAGGGCATCGCTGGCGAAACCTATCCGAAGGTTCTGGCTGCCAGGGTGGATGACAATGATTCGCGACGGATCAACACCACCGGATGGTGTCGCCGCGCCATCTTCCTCGGTCAGGTCGGGAACAGGCAGAGGCAGTTCGCCATTTTCAGGCTTCGACAGGAGGCGATCGCGATCTCTGGCGCCCTGGACAAGTCGGTCGCGGGTTGCATCGTTTTGAAGGCGTAGAGCTAGAACTTGATCATCCCGCTTCATGTAGTCACTAATTGTTGTCAGCACCGGCTCTTTCCCGATCATGGCACCCCAGTCAGACTCACGTATAGTAATTCTTTTGGTTGATTGGGGCGACATCCGGCCAGGTTGTGAGTTTCATGCCATTATCAGTTCTCTCCAACCCTTGGAGAAAGCGTTAGTTGGCTTATCTTCGCAAGGACAGGCAGCATGCTGCTTTGACAAGGGACTTACCCTCCCTCAGGAGAACTCGCTCGGACACCTTGCCAACCATTCTGAAAAATTTGACCCTGCCGAGGCAGATCAACCAGTTGGTAGGGTGAAATTGATGTGATGAAGAGGCAGTCGCGATCGAGTGGCCGCGAATTCGCACTTGAACACTCGCCGCCGCTGTCGCAACTTGACGGCACAGTCAGGTGGGCCGGCCTTGGCCAAGTGAGAGCGTTGTGCCCCGGTCAATCATTTGTCCGGCCATCGACAGACATATCAGGCTAGCTGCTCTTCGCAAAATGCAGCCAGACTTCACACCGTATACTAGGGGATAAGTCTATCCTGACAGATAATCGTCGTCGAAGAGTCTGCCCCTCTAGGCATGGGATCTCACTATGCAAGTCGTCAATATCGCCTGAGAAACCAAGTGCAATGGTTACTTACTTGGACAGGCTACCCAACATCACGACAGCCACTGTACACTCGTCTGCAAAACCCCACATTTAGAAGACATCGACGTGAACATGTTTCCTCCCAACGGGGCATATCATCCTTTTTTCATCTTGATGGTGCATATACTTAATCAGCCTTTGACAGCCGTTTCTCTCGAGAGCAGGTCATTGAGCGAAAAGACACCGTTTGGCTCCGAATATGTTCAGCTCGATTTCGTCTCTATCAATCAGCTACCTTTAGCGAAATACCTCGAGAATGGCATTGAATTCAGCTATGCGGACTTCTGCCATCAAACTTCCCACCACGGGCTTTTTCGTAATCTTTCATGTGGCCAGACGTTTACTCATGCCAGTGGTGTCCACTACTGTTCGCATCAACGAGCCACACTAGCGGTATTCCTGCCGGATTGTGCATCCCTAGCCGACCTGACGAGTGAGAATGTTCAATTTATCGCCCAATATCTTAGTTCGAACGGATTTTCATACTTCTTTGCCCTTTTCCAGCCATATGTATTGTTCAAGGTAGATCAAAACCGCCTTTATTAGCGACGAATATCACATAGTTTGCTCACAGCGAAAAAGACGGCCACAATTCTTATTTTCGTGAACGATTCCAATATACCGGACCAAGCTCCGGAAAGGCAAGTTTCTGTCTTGGCCGGCATATCATCGATTGCGTTGTTACCCACCGGTATAACAATGCTGACCGTCAGTAGATTCGAGGATACTGATCTCATGTTTGTCCGATACGGTGTATGTGCCAAAACTCTGTCTCAAATTCATGCTTGATTAGTATGTCCCCGCGTTAATTTGTTCACAGCCGTGCCAACCGCGTCCCGACTTAGTCGATGCCTCGGAAGGCAGCTACACAGATAAACTACCTGCTTGGTCCGTATGTTTTTCACGTCCGGAAGGATTTCAAATGAAGTCTTCTCGATGCTCCATATGCTGCAATGTCAGAGCTCTGGTGGGTTCGCGTTTCCGTAGAATGACGAATCCCGTTGGAAATGGAAGGCACTTCATTGGCTTCGGTCTAGAGATGCACCAGCTAATGGATGGAGATCGATCATGGAGCATGATCCAGTAATGATTGGTGAAAAGCAGCAGTCGAATTCGTCGAAGGGTTCACCATACGAAAGTAATGCCAAGATGAGTATACGCATCCACGGACGAAGTTGAGTAATTTGGGGTTTTTCTTCTGACCAAGTTACTGCTTTAGTCGGCCTACCCTAAAGCTTCGCCAACACCGAGCTGTCAGCTTATGATGGAGTAGATGAGCGCGAGGATGAGATATGGTAGTCGCAAAGATCTCTCAGACACGAACCCCGCCGACAATTCGAATATGATGGCGGGAAGGTGGTCGGCGTTGGATGCGGCAAATGCTTGAGTGAGCGAACTGGTTGGTCAACGACGCGCCCGCTTGCTACGGTTCCTGTGTCAAAGCCAGGGTTACTCATCCATGTAGTATCGGACAGTCCGTTAATAGATGACTGACCTCCTTCATTGGTCCAATTCGGCCGCCTTGATACAATGTGCTGCTATTTTTGTGTACTCGAGGTGATCGATTTTGCAGCTGCATGTAACTCTCTGTAGCTACGAGAAAGAGCTTAGCTAGACCTTGCCCGTCACGAACCAACGACAGTCCGAATCACACATGTTGATTTCTGCTCATGCCAGGGCGTCACCTCAAGGTCTTTGAGCTTACTCGTTCCCCCCCCCCCCCCCGATGGCAAAAGCCAATGCTCAATACCCGCGTGTGTGCGCGCCTTCCCCGTTGGCCGGGGGGGGGGCCCTGACGTCACACGCTCTAGTGACGCTGCCACTTCCGAGTGAGCCCGAGTGGCGTGAAATCTACACCCAAGCTACCAGACATACACTCGTCAAGTTTCGACCTCGCCACCGCAACGCCTGGTGGAAAAGTCGTCCCGACTCATCCATCCATCGATCGACACAACGCTCCGATCTGGGCTCGATGCTGATTCCCTTTTCTTCCTTACTCACACCACTGCCAAGGTAACACAACCACGCAACCTCAGTTCAACGCACAGCGCCCTTGCGTCTGCACCTGCAACCTCAACTCGGCTGATTTCCTCCAACCGGCAGCCGCAACAGAGGAAAAGCCCGGGAGACCAAAGCCAGCTGTACCAATATACCGCTGGAAGATATTTCCCTCCGTCCCAGCCAGCATGGTTCCAATCCCAGTATATAGCTCTAGCCCCATTAACGCTGCCAAAGCAACGGGTGTGACTCCCAAGACGGCCAGCCCTGGAGATGCGAACAAAGGTGGCCACGCGCAGCTGGAACCCTCCCGAGCTAGCGGCGAACAAGCGCACTCGCCAGCTCAACCTGGAGCTGGGCCGATGCTGCCCAAGGCGACCGGTGCATCACAACCTGGAGGTGTCCATGTCCCGGCTACGCCCACACGAACCCCCTCAGTAGGTAGCAACCCTCCTCCACCGCAACCTGGTGCTGTTCCTGTCCCCCCAGGTGGTGGTAGTGGAACGCGAAGCGGCATTCCTCCTCCGCCAAGGGCTGGTGAATCAGTTCAGAATCACCAGTCGCCACCAGTGACGACTATGCCTCCACCGATGGCATATCAACCGCCTCGAGCACATCTCCCTGCCCAAGCACCATCATCGACTACTTCGACAGTAGGACCACCTCTCTCCGGACCAGCCGGTATCTCGGCACGTCTACAGGGAGACTATCCGGCGACAGGCTTGTCTATGCCGGCAGGAGGCTACCATCAAGATGTCAATGCAGCCGGGTACAACAGCTATCAAAGTGCAGAACGAGCGTACGAAGACGACCATGAGGCGAGCGTCTGGGACACGGCAAAGAAGTGGGCGGCCTCTGCAGGAGAGTCTCTGGCGGCAGCAGAGAACGAGATGTGGAAGAGAATCAACAAGGAATGAATTGGGAGCCACAACCTGACCGTGGCACAAATGGATGAGTGGTGTAGGCGACGGCCAAGCAGGAGTGCACAGCCGACTCTCCAGTGCCTCTCATCCTAACAGAGCTTCCTTCTGGCGCAAGCGATTATGAAGAGGGGGCCGAAAGTCGGCGGACCTGGGCATGCTAACTACCGGGTGCGACGGAGATGTTGAACAAGACTTTTATGAAGTATGTATTGAAAACAATTTGGAAAAAACACAAGGGCAAGGCCGGTATCTAGGACGCTAGTTTCGGTGGGACCAAGAAGGCCTCTTGACCATCCAGGTGGAGAAAAGGTCGTGGAAGACGAGGCAGATCAAACACCGCAGCGTTGTATGAGGAGAGGCGAGGCGCCGTCCAATCCACAGAGAGGCCAGGACACGAAGCCATTGTGGAGTATAAGCAGCCTGTTTTATCACCACGGAAAAAGCCCTGTCTCGGGAAGATGGTGTGCCGAAAATGGGATTCCCGGGTTGGAATCCGCAACGAGGCATTTGGACGGAATACATTTCGACGTTGTTGGGTAGAATAAGCATATCTTGTTGGTATGATTTGTCTGCGAAAAGACACCGTTGCATGGAAGTCAATACGAAAATGGTAACAAGGGGAACTGCTTTCTCGTATTCCACCTGTGCCGACTGGACATGTCTCGTGGCGCCGTTCATTCAGAGAGTCGGAATGATGCGGATGCGGCATTGCAACCCTCCGGCGCTCCGGCGTGCTCCAAGGAAGAGAATAACCCTGTGCATCTTGTGCATGAATCGCTCCACAAGCCGGACTTGTCAGTGTCAGTGTCATCCGAAGCGACCGGCTTTGACAAGTCTCGCTGCTCGTTAGCATCAACTATTACCTACCTGGCTACGGAGTACGGAGTAGTCGGTTGATACACGGAGCAGGTTTTGTAAAGATGTTCGCCATCGAGCACCGCCACTAATACGATCCAGCAATATCATGGCAAGGCCGCCCGTTTCCCCATCTGCACGATGCATGAATACCGATCAGTGGCCCTGGACGCGGTCATGAACGACAGATTTGGGTTTGTCAAAGAGGAGGAGGACTGACTGACTTGTGAGCCGCCCCTCGGTTCCCCCCCTTTCCCGCAAAATTGAATCGCAAAGAGAGAGGCACATGCATGATGGGCAAAATGGCATGACGAGGAGAAGCTTGTTTGAAGACGGCCTGGGATGGGATGCCATGGGATGCCTGGCGGCGGACAGGGATTTGCGCCGCGCCCCTGTTTCGTCGATCCCGAAGATAGCATTGCGCGTATGCATGTGGTCCTTGTTACGGATGGACTAGTATTAGCCCTATTCTGTTTCTTCTTTACTTTTTTTGGGCTCTGTTCGCACTCGAGATGGTTTTTAGTCGTGCGTGTTTCTGGTAAACAGAAACAGAGGGGGTGCGATGTTGTGTGAGGACCTGTTTTTTCTTCTTCGTTCTTTCGTTGTCTTCCCTTGCGAAGGGAAAAGAGGGGAATTCGGCGAGGCGCGAAGCGAGATTCTCGACGATGGAAGCGAGATGTTTTGTCCATGTCTGGGGCCGAGGGACTGGGGAAATACCGTGCTATCAGTGTCCTTTTTTTTTTTTTTTTTTCCC